TTTTGGGCTCTACTTAACGTACTTGGGTAGGAGTGGTATGGGCATTAGTAATACGAACTCAAGAGTTCAGGGAAATTGTCCAGGAGTCCAGGAAATGGTACCACCCTTGTTCTTGGACTGGGGCCTAAAACGTTCGCAAATACAGGGGTACAGCGCCGGCCGAGCTGCCTTCTACAGGGGAGTGAAGCGTGCACGCCTAGAACTTCATGTAGGCTCTACCTTTTGTCTGCTCCTGTCTCGCTTCTAAATTTTTCAGTCGCCCACCGCTAGTGGCGCAAAAACTTTCCTCCTTCCTGGCTTAATCCTCCCCTTGTGACTCGTTGACTCGTTCTCGTTAACAGCTGCTAGCAACAATTACTTCTGCCTGGCTTAAGCTTCTACACCTTGTTGCCACGAACTTGACGTGCCTTGGTGTTAATAGCCTGAACGTCTAGTAGTTACAATAGAACTGAGCAAAGCACCTACATAGCTAAACCGGCTCCATGGTGGATCTGAGCAGAGTGTAGCCAAACCGGCTATAGTGGATCTGAGCAGGAGTGTAGCCAAACCGGCTATAGTGGATCTGAGCAGGAGTGTAGCTAAACTGGCTATAGTAGATCTGAGCAGAGTGTAGCTAAACCGGCTACAGTAGATTTGGGCATAGTGTAAGCTGCCTACAACCTGACCGTTTACAATGCTATTGGATGCAGCTGTGAACTATGGAAAAAGTTAATTGACTTCAAGCCCATCTGCGACCACTCGCCTGTTGCTAGCGGTCCCTTGGAAAATCTAAGTATAGTATTAAAGATAAGATATTAATGAGAAGGATTCTACTAGTTCGAGTTGGTGATTAGGCTAAGAGATTTATAACAGGTGAATTGTTTGATATTACGTATAACTTAGTTAATAGCACCCCCCCTCCCCCCCGGTAACCAGCGGAGGCCTAGCTAGTCGCTTGATACGGAAACCCGCTTATTAAGTTCTACGAATCTAAATATCAAGTTTATAAGTAATATCGCAGAGAGCTCGCAGCTTTGATGACAGTCAGAGACTCCTCTATAATTCATCAGGTTTGTCTTTTGTGTTTCTATGATTATTCTAGGTAATATGCCGGTACTAATAGATAATTACTGTTAGAAAGACCATGCCATTGATTCGAAACCCTCAACGGGCGCTGGATTATCATCCATCCCCTAGTACCCGGCAAAGAAGCTTCATATCTCAACATCACTCCTCTCTGCCCCTACTTGAGATATTCTCGAAGGGTTATCATCTCTCGGCTCTGAGTAAGGGGGATAAGGTGACAAAGCTCCCAGTGATTGAGCCGCGACGGATGTATCCGAGAGTTAAAGTCATTGAGCTCGTTGATCTTACAAAGGAATAGCTATCGAAGAGCTCTCTTAAATATATGGAGTAAATAGGACCTGCAATTCTACTAAGTTAAAGGCAAAATATGTATTCATAATAATTTGAACCCATTCTGTTGTTATAATATCGTGGTAGGCCTTTTCCTCATCTCAATATAGAGAACCCTTCGACCTGAGGGCCGGTATCCTTATTGGGACAGCCTTGTATAAGAATATCTGAAAGCATTCCCTATTATGTGTGTATTCGAGCTATTGTGAGCCAATCAGGGATGACCTAAGTATAGGTAGAAGCTCAGAACCTTATCGTATGATTGGTCGATATTTTCTTTATAGTTCGTTCACGCGATATCTCCTTAAAACAGCGAGAATATATACATATACAATAAAGCTCATTATATGCTGTATATTTCCTCTATAGATTCTCTTAGCTCTTTAACGATATTTATTTAGCCCGTCTCTAATTATCATTGAAACATAGGAATTATCCCCATATTTCCAATCGCGTTTTTCAAATCTCATCCCTTGTTACACGCCGCGAAACACCTCATTTAGCTACTAAACGATGTTGGCATGATACGCCCACGGTTTACTCGATCTCACACAGGCATTGCAGAGAGTACAATTTATTACATCGATACAGATGATGTTGGCCTTGCACAGTTCGTTATATTCATCATAAGAAGACTAGGTAATCGGCTCATGCACCTACTCTCTCATATTCCTCCACAAGATGGCATGAGGTCTTGGCCGAAGTTGCTGGCCGGAGGCGAGAAAGGAGACGGGCACCAGCGTCCCGCTATCAGTGGAACCTCACTAAACACATATATGCTGATAGAAAGCGCACTGTTAGAGCTCGACCATTGGAACAAAACGCTACGCGAATGCGCTTGTTAACACGTCTTCGAAGAACAAGGCCCCCGTCCTAACACAACATGCCCTGGTGCTAAACTAAGAACTACCAATATACTTTTGACATGCTCTATGTCAAGGGCTCCGTACGTCAAAGTCGAATATAATGGGTAGTGGCGGCCGATTTCTATTTTCGAAGCAAGCACCCCCCGCTAGCCGGTTGACCGCCGTGCCTTGCTCTCAAAATTCGTCATTTTGGTACTAGGGTTTGTCCCAAAAGACCCTTCATGATGAGCTATTAAAGTGCCGGATTGGTCATCGACCTTTTTTATATTACCAAGACGAAGAGAATAGGTCGATTGCCATCCCTGTAAATAGCATTTACGACCATACTTCCTGTAAAAGATACCCATCTATGTATATAATGGTTGTTTTATGCTCCCTGATAGGTGTGACTTCGAATTGCGCAGAAGACTCGCCGTAGCGTAAAACAAGGTCTTTTATTTTACCCCTGGAATTGTGTACACGAATCAACTATCGTAATTACCGAAGTCGAAGTGAGCGCGATGTCAACAATAGACCAATACCAACAATAAACTAATACACAGAGATCCTCACTTCTTAGACTCCAAAATCCGAGTAAGACAGACCATACCCCTCTTAATATCAGGAGTAACTTCAAGTGTCCAAAGAATATGTTTTGTTGAATACCCCGGCCCGTAATACTCAGTATTGTACCGTTGAACAGACCAATAACCATTAATTGTTAGACCAATGAACAGGCCCAGCGACCTTGTATACTCCAAAACATCATGTGATTCATGAGAGGTGATAGTTTTCCATAGAGTCCCAGCAGCTGCAGCAAACCGCGAGTCAACTTTCAATGCCTTTTCCGCAAAGGTATTGACAGATTCAGCTGTTCCTAGCAGGTAAAGGCGTTCGTATCGTTGGAATCCGCATGCGACTCCACCACCAAAGCAAGCTATGTTGAGGGTAATAGGGGGCGACCAAGTTCTATCAGAACGCTGAGCAATAATAATACCAGAACCATAACCGCACCCAGAACCTATAGCCCCATGTCGAAATTGCAGAATTGCCAAGCCTTTAGAATGAGCAATTGCTTGTTGAGTAACTTTGCCTTCATCTGCCCCTCAGTTAGCAAGTAAATCCAGTTAGCAAGTAGATTATGTATCGAGGTCGATATACCAAGAAAACCTTGTATAATCTTTGCAGCCCAATTGCAAACGTCCTGAAGACTTTTTTTCTTGGAAATCTTCATTGTATGTAAATAAGATGTTGGGGTTATACTCTGCAACGTAACTTTCGATCAAAATGACAAGAGAAATACTTTCGCCCGTGCAGCAATGCCCTATATACTTTCATTGGAGTACATGTTATTGCACTGTACCTTCGCTAATCTAATTCCGCACCTGCCTAAGAAACATCCGCTTGAGGCCGCAAAACCAAGCCTTAAAGCCAGCCGGACTGAAGAAGGAGGTCCCTAAGCAGTAATTAGGTGTATATAGGAGTAATTTAATCTATACTCGCTATGAAGGAAATTCCTATTAGCTATTTTCCATCTAGGCGCTGTTTATATTGCTCCCACGGCTCAAGCGGATATCTGGAGGAGTATGACTCATATATGCCTCTTGGGGCTTTAGGTGCCAAGGGGTGATAATCAGACAAGCCTTGGTTGCTTCCATTTGGCGACATGGTCTTTCTGGTAGTAGCTAGTAGTATGTAGATATTAGCAGGTGTCTTACAGTAGTTGCAGTAATGCTCAAGACAAACCTAACTACAAGCGGCTCCCCGCGGCATTGCTTATATACTTGGGTATATAATTAGCTTCACCATCCGTATGCTACAAGAGGAACGTTAGCCGGCTCGGCATAATCCACACGTTGTTAGTTGATGACTTGAGAAGCATAATCCCACGAGGAACATACGTAGCCCTCCGCCATTCCCGCCGCAAATGGTATTACGGCAAATTTCACTCCGCAGGTACTTATCTCTTTAGCTAGACAAAAGTAAGTGGAAATAGATAACAGCCCGAAGAGAAAGATCTTTTACTCAGATCACGGCTGGATCCGCAGGCCTTTGCACGGATTGCAGCCATTTTGGCTGTACCCCACAGGGAAAGATCGCATCAAAGCCAGTTTTGCTGAACCCACAAGGATCCATCACAGCCGGTTTTGCTGCAGGAGGAACGTCTAGGCGCATGGGGACCCATTACGGCCGGTTTGGCTATACTCCACAAAAACCCAAAACAGCCAATTTTGCTGAACCCACCGTATTCAGTGACAAAGATGGCATGCCTGGCATGGCACACGCCGTTGAACATGTAAGGCTGGTTATGTGTTCGTTTCCACACACGATGACTGCTTATGCCCAGTTGCTCTTCATAGGGACCAATAAATTTCCCGTCCACAGGATCCGCCGTGGCAGGAGCTAACCACCCCACACACTTCTAATTGACCGAATAACGATGATTTGAAACAAAACCTTACCAGTCGTAATCCCTGCGGGTATCTACCGCACACGTTAGGATCCCGGACAGCGACACGCGAACCTCCTTTTCATATCATGATGCATTAGGCGCGGAAACGGGGCTCATTCAGATTGCTCGGCATACGGGTGTAGGTCCGGAGTTTTTCCGGCGTACGGCATGTACGGCGTTCCCACATCACTAGGTAAATTCTGTGAATCAAAATTGCTAACTTCCCCGCTTCTCTTCCGCCTGCATTAATATTTAATTCTTCTTCCATCTTGTTGACTCATGCCACTCTTCCCCTAAGGGCGTTGACTATGGTCAACGACATGCTGCAATCGGCAGCGGAGCTAGCACTCCCAGCACCTGGGCCATCCTTGTCTTTTCACGTCTTTCCCCACCTCCCTGTCGAGCTCCAACAAAAGATCTGGCGCTACTCTCTTGCGCCCCGGATCGTCGAGGTCCACGCCCGCAGATCGCATTACGCCGATGACTTCCAACATGGAGGTGTGCCAAAATGGCAAAGCGGTTGTAACAATCCTGCCGCGCTGTCTGTTAATTCCGGGGCGAGGTCCGCCGCATTGGATTGTTATCCCATCAAATTGCCCCTTGCGACTATTGCGCCATGTGAGCATGCTGGCGATAGTATTAACGACTTGAATCGTGTGTTGTATATCAATCCTGAGGTCGACACCGTCGTTGTACTTGGCGATCTGGACTATCGCAGAATGTCGCACCTGCTAACGGACTTGGGTCTTCGTGATCCGAAGGGGAAAGGTCTGCGGAGATTGGCTGTCAGCGCCAGCTGGACATATCATCAAGGAGCTGGCGACACAATCAGAATGCTCGTTCAACACATGTTTCCTAAACTGATTGAGATGACCGTGTTTATGTATGCTGAAAGATTACCCCCTGCCGATTGGGCTGGTGGAGTGTGCTCGCTGGAAGATTGTAGTGGGACGGACTACTATAAGCGGTATGCAATGGGAAGAGGCCAACAGATGAAGGATGGTGATAAATGGATGGTAATTGGGAAGAAAGAGTTAAGAGTGATGGAGCTCACTTTCAGGCATGGTTGGTAGTTGAGCATTTTTCAATAGTTTGGTGATGAGTATAATATGCTGAAACCCTCACCGATGGTAGGGAGGATGTAATACAGTCCGAAGGATGCATCTTTTTGACATTATATTTCATACTAATAGCTCTGGCTATGTGCTGGCGCTCCATGGTGCGGTGCGTACATGACCGTGATCTATTTTCGCCCTCTCTGTACTATAGCGACGTCATCAAGATAAAAGAGGTTGGAATAGTGGCTGGTAAAGTTGCTGTTTCTTGCGCCGGTCCTAGTCGCGGACTTTCATCAAAACACCTGCTACTCTGTGTCACAGGACCAGGCATCCAATTCTACCGATGATGGGGGACAAATGGAAGAAATAGCTGCGGATCTGACGGATCTAGAGGTAATTAGCATCCCAACTCTCCCCTAATCTGTTTGTTGTTGTTACTGACAGCTTGCTATCCGTAAAACTCTCGATTTAGATATGTTCTATGAACTTGTTGATGATATCTTTCTCGCCTATCACGGAAGAATCGACCGGAGGACTTCTGCGCCATTCCTTTGAAGGGGGGGGATCCATTTTTACGAATCTATATATGGAATTTGTAGATTGATTATCTGAGAGGTAGTAAACATCCAAGAAGCCCCTGATACTGCCTTTGCCATGTGGGTTAGATAGGGATAGTGTAAACCATTCTTTCAACCCTCACTATTTCTAATCGCACAGCTCAACCTCGTCAGTGGCCTCATATAACCCAACCTAAATACTCCCTTTATTTGAGTTTCTTTAAGCCCGCACGGCTTAAGATAACCTTTCAACTACAAATCTTAAGTCCAGCATTTCACCCGGCAGTGGTTACACTACAAAACGCCAGTAACGTGTAGAGCTCAATTGTTCACCATGCGTATGAGTTTGTTGTACCGATGATCTCATCTCAAGGCACAGCGGCAAACTCCGCCTGTCCCTGATTCGGGGATTTCCTAATGAAGAACGCTAAAAGTCTCATTATTTCTTTTCATGACTTGACTAAAACCCTCAATTATTATTTCTCCTGACCCCGGACGCATTAAATATGTTTGATGCAGGCGTGTGTGCTTTGAGCGGCGCATGCCTATCGGTTTAAGGAAGGGGGGATTAGTGACTGGGCATTAAACAACGACCATCAAAGCACTCGCTGTAGGATATGTCATGAATCTGAAATACACCTGCACGGCGAATGATACTTTACTTTCTTCGGCCCGCTTTGTGCATTGTACATGGTTCCCCGGCCTTCAAAAGTTGAAATAGGCAGGCCCGTCGTTATATGCGCTGTTGGCAGATCACCCCAAAGCTAGCCTATCGCGATAATAATAGGGGGAATACTATTAATTAAATATGTAAGGTACCAATAAGATATTACATTCATTTGTGGAAACCCAAAGTCCGACCCCGTTACACTACCACTGACCCAGTTGCTAGTTCCTATTTCAGTCACATTATCTGCTACTCCATCATCTTCACTCATTACTCTTCTGGCCTTATCAGAGTAGGTAGCATAGCCATACTCATATACAAGCTTAGGCCAACCTCAATTTCTCGAGTTGGGTTCGTATTACACCGCAACAGGGGCTGGGACACCGTCACGAGGGCCTTCACCGTGTGCTGCGGCCATTTCTTGTTTCTGGACCTCGACTGGCGTCTTCTTGCTCATCTTGCCGTATTGTTTAGAGACATAGATGCCCTAAGCACCTATCAGCTTATACCCTTATCAGAACGGGGCATGGGGGTATGGGATCTTATCAGAATACCGCTCAGTAGGTGAGTAGCCATGGCAATGAATGAAAAGGCCAGAACAGTCCTCCATTGGGAGCAGCCGACTCTATTGACATTCACCGTCCCAATAGGTCCGCGATGCCAAAATCGGCCCCAATAGTACCCCCAGTAATTGCTGAACCAAGACGAAGTGCATGTATTAGTGCCTGTCCTCTATAATGGAGAGTATGATTAGCACATTTTGTCGTCAGGATCTGTGCTATCAGAGAGGAAGACCCTACCGTCTCAAGGAGGCAGAATGCGATAAGCCACATGATAAACATGATGAAATCAAAGGGGAAGCTCAGGAATAGAGCCGTAATGGGCACAATGAAAAGCAGCGAGAAGACTATGCCGAGCGAAGCGACGACCATGGTGTAGATGATTCTTCCATCGACGGAAACGTGAGCGGGATGGATGAGCCAGCTGAAACGGCCCAGGATCGCGACGACGATGATGGCGGAGATGAGCTCGCCGAGGCGGAAAAGAATCGATAGGACCTTGTGGGTCGTACCGCTTTTTTCGTGTGCCATTTTGGAAGTTGCAGGAGTCTTGGAGATTTTGTTTAGTGTCTGGTATTGTTCTTTCTGTCTGGAACTTCCGAATCAATCCTGTGTTCAAGGAAGGGGGCAACATAAGATATACAGTTGGACCCAAATTACGGTGTGCACCTTATCCGCCACCATCTCAACGGTCTTGTCCACCTTAGCATATAGTATGATCAACAGGCAACCTTCAATAAACTTTGGGCGGATATAGTTTCATGGCACACAGCCGATTTGTCGCCACCAACGTTCAGCTCGTTGCAATTGCGGAGGACGGGCAACTGAGAGGTCTGGACTGTTTGCGGGGTGTCGCTTGGGCGTGAAAGCTACATTTCTCGTCTTGTTTTTTTTTCAAAGTTTGTTTCAGTTGCTCATATTTTGATCATGTCTCATGCCCGTCGTGTCTGGCGAGCTTGGTGCGGTTACACCCGTTTTCCAAGCCTTCATCCAATGGAATGCAAGCTTTTGGGCGCCAACTACGTCACAAGAAATCAATCCGCAGATGCCGAAACCATAGCTCATTCTGTCAGTACTGGAATGAGATGGCCCCATGCTTGGTCCAGCTTCCAGCGACTTGAGAGAATTCCTATTCAGTAAAGTGGGCAAAACGAAGGGGGCAATCTGACCGTGAATCAAGAATTACCATGAGGCATCCTATCACCCAAGAACTTGATGTTATCCTATTGCCAAAGAACTTGATGTTTATCTCAATCACATGCGCCACACGGATTCTGAAGTATCATGAGACCCTGAATCTCGATTCGGCGGCCGAAATCCGTTCGGTTCCGCCAGCCAGACCTCATGTCTCATATGACATAAATGCCTGGTAACTCAAAAGATGCACTAAGGGTGCCACAAGGAGTTTTTACTGGCCTAGAAGCTCAGGAGCCTACTGCGCAAAATTAAGTTCTCGACCGTCCCACTGCCATATTTCCACATAGTATACCATGGCTTTCATACTGGTTTGTCCGGAAGATAATTTAATTCTATCAGTTGAGCAGAAATTCCGCCGGAATGTGAACTATGAAGCGTCACAAGCGCACCAATCCATAAGAAGAAGAACCAATCGTATGATTTTAGCAGTCTAGACTGGATTTGATCTCAGCTGAGACGCCTTCATAGCCTTGATTTTTATGCTTTGTAACGCCCACACGCCACCAAAATTGAGCTCATGCTATCCCGAACTCTATTCAAACAAGGATCAATTTCGTCATTGTTCGCAGGCTGACCGAAAATCAATAAAACCATCCACTTAATAAACTGGTACGCTACATAACATTATGAACAGCCTCTCTTCGCGCGCGAGCACTCATCATATCTACCAACTTTCACCACTTCTCAAAGACCACAAAGCGCTGATTAAGGAGTAAAGGCTATTCAATTTCATCTATTCATTAACACTTTGATCCTCCAAGATCACGTCATCCTAGAACCCCACGATGGCCGCCAAGGAGCTCACCGTGGTTATTCTCAACCACACCAACGAAGAACTCCAGGTGCAGCCCGAATCCCCGCAACTTGAGCTTGGTGAACTGCTCGATCCATCGAAGCCGTCTCCACCTAAGAACATATTGGCAGGAGAAAGTGTAATATGGTCCTTCAGATCGGCGCATATCGGCGGGGGCATCCAAGGGCAAGTCGCGTATCAGATGGTCGGGTTCGAAGAGAACGCATCAGTGACTTTCCACTGGAGCGTCCATCTTGTTGGCACCAATAAGTTCACTCATACCAGTAGTGTGGACGGTTTCACAACGAGGGTGCTAGGGGGAAGCGGCCAACAACCTGTTGCGGTGTTTGTGCTTGGTACGTGTAGCCCTACTGAATCAGCATTGAATAATGGGACAGAAAGTCTGACACGGTAAAGAACAGAACAAGTGAAGATTTTGGAGATGGAAGACTACTGTGATAGTTATTTGGACCCAGATCTTTGCAAGTCGCCACGAAGACTGTCGATTAATTGGCCCTACCGGCTGCGTTGACTGCCTCTCGGTCGCGATTGCAAACACAAATGTACCCATGCGAAGTAAATACCACCTTGCCCTAAGCGCACCACCTAGCTTCTCTGGATTTTAGGCAACATATTTTTTTGAACATAATTCTGCGTGATTGTCTGTAATGAGTTGTCATGAAGATAAATTGTAAGCCTCCATAGCCAGAATGATGGCACGCGGCGGGTTGCTGACATGGTAGCAATAGATGCAACTGCCGCAGGCATCTAATTTGCTGCCTTTTTGCCTAGAGTTGACAGAGAACAGCTAAGGTTAAGCGGTATGTAAGCTCCACAGGTGCCTCGCAGGGGATATTAGGCAAGCCAACGCAAGTTCAAGATGACCAAGTGTGTATTGTTTCGCGCAGCCCTTGGAAGCCTTCTCCTGTCCTTTGGCGAGAATACCCAAGCCGTCCTTGCCAGTAGCCAGCTATCTGACACACAATTCAGACGCGAAATCCTAACCGCTGGTAGTTTGTTAACATATTGATCCTTTCAAGTGTTTGAAAAATGACGGACATTTCTTCAAAAAAAAAATTGAGAAGGGTTTCATGAACAGACGGCAGCATATTATGCTTGATCCTTTCTGCGTTCTTTGTCGTCAAAATATGTTGTTGGAATTCAAGTCGAAACACATCGAGGCAATTTTTGCCTAGTGAGACCGCATCATGAGAGACCGACTCACTATGGTGTAAGAATATATTGCACAGTTGACTGATTGGATGGATACTAATAGCCCGCGTAATTTTTCGAATTCCAACGAATCATGGCTGGTGACTACATATTTCCTATAGCGTGTCCGATCAGAAATAAATACCCGGTGCAAGTTCCGGCTCCTATTTCAGGGGCACTGAGGGCCGCCGGGATGGAGCTCTTCTTGAATCAGTATAATCGTAAACTGTCGTCTCGACTGTATGGCAAGCTTTGTTGATATCCCGTGCCTATAATTCGTAAAAGCCGTGATGCCTCAGATCAACAACAAGACTTTAAATCGCATGGCCTCAATCCTTCATCCGATCTCTGCCTAGCGATACACATTTTTGAAGCCGGTCTTGGAGATGTTGCAACCAAACACTTCTGCATCGCATTCTTCCACCATAGCTAACATGGTTATGCCTGAAATACCTGGAGCAGTCCCACGAAAAAGCCAAACGAGAACTCCCTCTCGTACGAGTTCTCTTTTTATGAAGATGGAGAAGAATCTTCCACTCAAAGCACGAATAAAGGGGCTGATTCGGGCTTGATTTGAAGGAAGAATACCAACACGGTAAAAATACAGCGACTTCCAAGATAATGAATCATCAATCACTGTTTTCTTTTTGATTGTGGAAACGCGATATACTCCGATCGTGGAAAATTCGAAGTGTTTCGACGGTGCTGAGGCAGATGTAATTGAACTGACACATGCTCAGCGAGAGAAGAGCGGCATGGCAAGAGTTGAGGAAGTTGGAAGGGGTGCCATAAATGCGAATAAAGCATGAAATGGGAGTCGAGAATATGTAAAGAGGGGGTTGTTGGGGTGAACAGCATCGAACGAGTACAGCTGCTACTTGACCAGCAATGTACTCTTGAGCGGGGGGTTTGCTTTCAACACCATCGCAATGCAGAAGGGGGGTGCATTCACCAATCCGACAAGTTCATTAGTACTACGAAAGACATTTGGTCTAACAAGTGGAGCGACCCGGTCTACTTTATGTTTCAGGGTATTGATCCCGGGATCTTCATAGAGGATGGAAGGGCGTATATCCAGGGTTCTCAAGGCCCTGAACTTGTACCAAGATACAGCAATTTGAGGTGAATGTTAGCACAGGAGAGAAAGTTTCTCCCGAGTAAACCATCTAGCTCGGCACTGGTGGGATCTATCCTGAAGGCCCGCATGCGTACAAGCGAAACGAGGAGTGCTACCTCATGATATCTGAAGGAGGTACACACAAGAATCACATGGTTATGGCACGCTAGAAAGATATGTGGGGCCCGTATAACTCATGCCTGCAGAATCTAATTCTGACTGCAAGGGGCACAGACTCAAACAAAAGTCGCCGCCAATCCACATTGGGGTCTGACAAGACGGACAAGACTAGCTTCCTAAGAGGGGTAGCTTTATTCTGGCCGTCTTCTTCAGAGGCCATGGATGATATGTGTGAGATGAGACAATGTCGGTCTTGATACAGGGTCGAAGACGGTTGAAGACAGAGCTGCGAAGATGAACGAGGGCGGAGTAGAGATTCCTTGTGACGTAGAAGTCATGATTGTTGCATGTGACCTTGCGTGGTCTCCAAGGACTGCCCCATTGATACGATAATGCATTATAGCGATTTTCAGTTTTTGGAGATTCCTTGCTTGATTTCTTTAATTTGCGTTTCTCCAAATTGCAGTCGATGCCGGTTTGACCTAATCTACGACGAAGTCGTAACACGCGAATTTCGGCTCGTCTGAGAGTGAGGTTTTGGCTCTGGTAGAAATCTGAAGAAGTAGGTCCGAGCTCATGAGAATTGAATATATCCATTTTGACCACGACTATGAACTTGCGAGTAGATTACGCGAACTTGACAGATCATGGCAATCCTGGACTGGTTGCGCAAGATATCAAGTAAGGTATCGTAATCCGAAGCAGGTTTTAGTGGCACCACGCTATGATAAAGGTTATTGCCTGTAGGCGCACACCCAAACCGTAATAAGTGGGCGAAAGCGTTTAGCTTTAGAAACAAGGTGGTCTTGTGATGATGAATAAATATAGCAATTTTGATGTGTCGGTTCTAGGTGCCTCTATTTAGCGAGGAAGACGAGGACGACGAGTATACAAGCAGTGATTATATGGATACAGATGAATAGCTTCAGTGTATCTATCAATAAATTTGAGTTTTCTTAATGCTGTGTATCTGACTACAAACCAGCCAAGAGTGCGGTGTCGGTAGCGGTAAAAGGTGGTGCCAGCGGAGTTATGAGTAAGAAGGCCCACGGAGAGTCAATACCTGAGATGACAGAAGAATATATTTGCTAGTCTGGGGTAAAGGAGCCAAGCACCGGCTCTACGGAGAGCGAACCGCCCTCATACAACTCTTGCTAATCGAGAAGAGCATCGCTATGTGCTGCTAGCGCCAACTCTTGTTCTGTAGACTCATGACGGTAGCATCAGTTAACCGCTGAGTACCTACCAGTTAAAGTCGAGAGACTACTAAAGGAAGCCCCGCGTAATACACAAGCAACGTGTATCAAGCAGGATACAATCACTACGGGCTATTTCCTTGCCACTCTTTGCTTTTATTGTCCTCTAGCTTAGGTAGGTACCGGTACCTGATAAAGTGAGGAAGTTGTTATGTTGCTGGCACTATACCATTGCTTTCTATTGTGCCCAAAAATGGTTCACAGCATCTTTTTTGTCTTTCGTCGCTCGCCGTTAGCAGACCATGCAATAATCTATTTATTAACCTAAAGAAGCATAGTTATGTTTAACTGTTACGAACAAAGGCCTCACGTTGGGTCGCACGAAGTCACGTGCAGATGTGCGCCTTGGAACGCAGGCCCAAGACTCCTTGTTGGGTCAGCACTCTTAGTGAGTGACGAGTGAGTGACGGTCCTGGTATATATACACAACCATTTATCACCATCTTTCATCTGTTGGCCTCTTCCCATTGCATACCGCTTGTAGTAGTCAGTCCCACTACAATCTTCCAGCGAGCACACTCCACCAGCCCAATCGGCAGGGGGTACCCTTTCAGCATACATAAACACGGTCATCTCAATCAGTTCAGGAAACATGGATTGAACAAGCATTCTGATTGTGTCGCCAGCTCCTTGATGATATGTCCAGCTGGCGCTGACAGCCAATCTCTGCAGACCTTTCCCCTTCGGATCACGAAGGAAAAAGCCTTCAGAGTGCCAAGTGCCTTCGTAAGTGCTGCTGGTTTAATGGGATCTGCATCTTCGGGCTGTCTGCGGCCGCAGTAGTCCTCGACAAATTCCCTTCGAATCGCCTGCCAATGAAAAAAGCTTATAAAAGAAAGAATATCACTCTCGAATGGATTTCTTCGCTGGATCTGATTAAACGATATGGTCCACGTTGCTGTGACCGCATGTGGTGTCTTTGTATCTCTCCCGACTATTTCGAATGGTTCACTTAGCCGGTCAACAAAGGCTGGGTCCTTTCGTCTAAGAGCTGGATGTATTCACTTAAATGTATTCCATTCTCTTGGATGAATGCTGCCGCCTGTACAAGAGCGAGTGGCAAATGTTCAAGCCTGGATGAGAGAAGAGATGTCTCATCTGCCGAAATCTCCTTGTCCTCTAGGATTGCATACACCTCAGCGAGCAAGATGACGAGATTTTCCAGAGTCACTTCCCAAAATTTGTATCGCAAGGCGGTTATGAGATCGATGGAGGATCTATCAAGCCAGACATGAAAGCGATGAACAACAAGTTTCATCCGGAAGCTGCAAAATATTTCACAGACAGTCTCAGCAAACTCAATATACGGTCGGCGGCCTCAGGAAAAGAAGTTGCCGTAGCTGCAGCTCTTAACCAGAGTTTCCTAGACAAGTTGCCCGGCCCACTGGGCTACCACCTTCGCTGGGTCTCATCTCGCCAAGATTTCTTCATCTTCTTTTCTTTGAGAAGATTATCCACCCACTGGCCGCAGTATCCCACTATATCAACCGCCGCTGATCCCGTCCCCACTCACTATAGCAGTCTTTCATACAGCTTGTATTCCTCTGTTCCGCGCTTGAAGGGAATCTTGCTGCGAAACGCTGCCTCGCGGTCGTAAGTGTCCATGGTTTCACAAGTTGAATAGAACAAAAAACAATGTTTTATGTGAAATGATATATGAATGATAGGCTTGCGCGTTCTCACAAAGCAGGTTGGTCGGCAGCGATGGATGATCGGGAAGCTCATATATAGCAGCGACAGAAGGGAGCCCAGGCATACTTTTTCGGCACCCTATCGCACCCATCGCCACCCCCGTTCCTCCCAGGCCCAGATGCGGCCTCGAACAAGCAGAGCATGCGACCTCCAGCGCCCATCATCGACTGGCATGTTCATATATTCCCTTGCGCCAGTGATGATGTCTCTGCCGACCGACCTCATCCAACCCACGTAAGCACGTGCCGGCTGTCTTCGACGAATATATAAGGCCTCCCCGTTGTCCTCAGCCTTGCCCAAATCAGTTTCTTCCCACTCGCCTGAAGATGTCGATGCCTACAGTCACCACTCTCCCGAACGAGATTTTATTTTGTATTGTCGAAAATGTGGAAGGGAGGGATATTCAGTCGATGATTTTTACCTGCAAGACGATCGAGAAGAAACTTCTAGACTGCCATATCGGGGCTCTTCGACTGAATAAGCGCTTTTCCGAATTTCTGGATAGCCATATCAGTACTCCACAAGTCATTGAGAAGCACCATATCCGTCCATTCCTCCCCTTCATCTATGGAGCAGTCATCTATTATAAAGACTGCAACGTTTTGCCAATTTTTAAATCAGCAATACAGATACTGGATTCTATTGGGATGAAGGAGATGATTATCCCAGCTGCTCTTTTTATGGGAAGCTCAAAGGCAGAAGGACAAAAGTTTAATGAGGCCATTTCACTACTCACATGGGCTGAAAAACAAATCCAAGGCATCACCTATCAAGGTGGACAAATAAGTATGCCTCGCCGAATCACCGACCGTATTTGGGAGGCATTCGCATTTCGCCCAACGTTTTGGGGAGCAGGGTGGGAGCATGTTGCGCCAGTGATGACGTGGTATTACAGCGTCTACTTATGCCAAGCTCCAGTCCAAGCAGGCACCAGAAATACGAGAAGAATGGAGTTATTGGGGGAAGGAGGATCGCAAACCAAGCTATCACCTAAGAAACAATGCGCATATGGTCTATCGGAAAGGCGGGGGAGCAGAAGGACATTACTACGGGTTAGCTTTGTATGGCGCTCAAAACACTGTCATACATAGTCACAACCGAGCTGTACTGAAAGATATAAACCACTCATCAAGGTCGAGTTGCCCGAGGCGTATAACGAAGCTGAACCCAATCCCAACCCATTCCCCCTTTCTATACAGGCAACACAGTGCCCTGATTGCATCGGCGATGAGTGACTATCTTGCTTCAAAGTAGACTAAGTACCGAGGTGGGAACAATTGTGCCTACAGTGTTAGCGCAAAATCTTGATACCTTTGGTAAGCGATAAGGTACAACCACCAATGAATAGGTTGAGTTGCCACGCAACGCAGACAGGCGGCGACTGATACATGGAGTCGCCCTGCCGCTGATGGGGATTACATAAGCGAGAGTATGACTTTGGAGGCTCCTCAGCAGGCTACTGAGCTTAAGGTGCAAGAAGCCATTATGCGACTGCACGAGTTCTCTTTTCTCAGTGTGCGTCGGAATGACGATGGCGGGCGTAGCTACAAGATGCACAAGCTTGTGCAAGAAGCTATTCAGTATAGGCTGAGGGTAAGAGGCCAAATGAGGATGAGCCTAAGGGAGCCAGTAGGGAAAGGAACTTTGGAGTGTGAAGCATACTATTGCGGGATTGCTTTGCGGATAGTAGACAAGCTTTTCCCGGTATCAGAGGGAAAGCCATGGACACGATGCGAACAGTATATGACACATACCATACAGGCTGGAAAGTAGGCCGAGTTCAGTGGGATGGAGGTTCGCTCATCAGAATTACTCAGCCGAGTAACAGATTTGTTGTATGCTCAGGGACAGTGGAGGGAGAAGGAAAATATAGATAAGAGAGTATTGGAGCTCTGGAGGAATATTCTAGGAGAGAAGTATCCGGAGGCGATTAGGAGCATGGCAAACCTCGCGACGACATACCATTCGCAGGGCCGACACACCGAGGCTGAACAATTGAAGGATCAAGCACTTAATCTTCGACGGGAGGTTCTTGGGGAGAAGCATCCGGACACGATCAGGAGCATGGCACACCTCGGGGTGACATACCATTCGCAGGGCCGATACGACAAGGCTGAAGTGCTTCGCAAGTCTGCTCTAGATCTTCGACGCCAGATCCTTGGAGAAAATCATCCGCATACGACTCAAAGCGTCATGTACCTCGCCTCCACACAGGAATCGTTACAACGCATTCGAGTCTAGTTTAGTTCTTGGTGGCTATATAGGCTGATCCATCTGGGAGAGAGGAGGCAGCGCTGTAGATATTTATGGGAGGTTATATACAATACAATACAATACAATTTATTACGCCCGGCGGCTTGAACCGAAAGGGCACTAATTACTAATATACACATACATAGCCCAAATTGTGTCCTAGTCTCCTAAAGCCCCTAATCTGTCCTCGTCGTGCTGATGTATTCTCATTTACTCTCTCTTTCTACGGATTCCCGTGGTTAGTATTATTATTAGCAAACTAGCTTGGAGCCTATTCTCCAAGTGTTCAGTGTCCTATCTACGGCGGCTGAAGCGGCCTTCGCCTTTGCTGGCACGGGGTGAGGGTAAGTTAGGTTTGGAAGAGTGGGTTAGTGGGGGAAGTAATAGGTCCGGGTCTGTCTTCATCCGTTAACTTGCATCAAGGCGGCCTGTGGCCAATGCAAACCGGATAGTTGCTCGCACAGCCTCCATGTTTGGTGTCCATTCTTGGTTGTCAGAAGGTGACTTCCCTCCAAGATAGAAGGAGATGTTGCCTCTTCGGGTATCGGTGCATTGAAGCATCTCAGTGCGGTATGCTGTCCACTTCCGGCAGCGGAAGAGGAAATGTTCGACTGTCTCTCTCGCTTGTCCACAATCGCATCTATCCGATGGCACCGCTTTGACGTGAAAGAGATATGCATTCAGCCTCGCTATGCCCGTCCTCAGCTGAGAGAGTGCGCTTGCTTCCTTCCATGATAGCTGATCATAGAGCTGTCTCGTGTGTTTGCCGGGTAGTGAGGTTATATACAATACAATACAATACAATTTATTACGCCCGGCGGCTTATTTTGGCCGATAGGGCACTAATCACTAATGCTTACATACATTGCTTGATTTTCGTCCTTTTCTCCCCGAGCCCATGCTTTGCTACCCGTTGCTCAATCTGTGTCCGCATTTCCTAGAGCCCAGACTGTACCTTGCTTTTCACCATATGAATTGAAATAGGTCTCCTCGAGCCCATAATGCGCCTGTTCCCCGATTGTGCTTTTCCTTCTACCCTATTGCTCCCTGCGTTATCCCGTGATTTACTAGCATAGCCAGCGAACTAGCTTGAAGGCTATTCTTCAAGTGTTCAACGTCCTATCTACGGCGGCTGAAGCGACGTCCGCTTGTATGAGACGGGGTGTTGGGTGTTGGGTGTTTAGTGTAAGTAAGTTAGTAAGAGTAAGTAGGTGAGATTCTTGCAATCTGGTTTCAGTATTGTGTGTCGAGTCGGCCTGTGGCCATTGTAAATCGTATAGTTGCGTGGACTGCATGCATGTTTGGCGTCCACTTGGCGTCATCTGATGGTGACTTTCCTCCTAGGTAGAACGAGAGGTTTCCTCTCAATGTCTCCGTGCACTGCAGCATCTCAGTCCTGTGCGCTGTCCATTTCGTGCATCGAAAGAGAAAGTGCTCTACTGTCTCTGTCGCTTGTCTGCATGCGCATTGCTGTGACGCTGCTACGCTGATCCGGAAGAGGTATCCATTTAATCTGGCCATGCCCGTCCTAAGCTGTGATAGCACACTGGCTTCTCTCCGTGACAAGCCATCATAGAGCAATCGAGTGTGCTTGCCCGGGAGCGCAGCATCAACCTTCTTTGAAAATTTCCCAACATTGTCTGGTAGCCGTTTGCTTGCACGCTGACTCGATCGGGCTATGTTCAGGGTCGTCGATCGCATTCGGGGAAACTTCTGAGCCGGGACGGCACCGTCTTGGCTCGCACTTCGCGCCTCTTTCTTAGCCATTTTCAGGAGCCTGTGTTCAGCACTGGTGGGCATCCATACGACAGCCACCACGTTTTCTTTGGCCCTCAATACATTGATGGAATCATATATGCATTCAACATACACTTGACCGGACTGCTGGCGAGGGTTTCGGACCGTGAGCACGGCGGCTTTGTTGCTCGCCAACAGTGCCACGCTTCGATACTCAAGGTCGGGTAAGTGTCTCAACGCGTAAGCCATCGCTGCTAGTTGTCCGGAAAATGGGTTCTGCCCCGTCCTCATGCCAAGTGTGAAAGAGAAGCGTTCAAGCTTCGGCCCTCCTTGCACCGATGCAGGAATCTCGATGACCCCGCCGACTCCGACTACCCCATTCCGCGCCGAACTGCTCACTGCAGCACGTACCGCCCATCCTAGATCTGCTTGCATTGTCCCTAAACTATCCCCATCATCCACTATAGTCTGCACCCGTTCTACCCAGGGTGCCAATGTGAAAGGGTTGATCGTTTCTAGTTCTTCCATCGGGATCTCATTGAGTGCCACTGCTACCTCGTAGAATGGCGAGCGATTGTATCTTCTGAACTTTCGAATGCGAGATGTAGAGCTTCGGAGAGGGTTGGTTGTCGGAAGGGTATGTAGATCAGTCCACATCTTGATGGCCCGTCTCCAGAACCGTTCATGTGCGCTGGCGATATGCGCCTCTGCTTCTGCTACGCTTGTTGCCACTGTGAGGAACGTCCCCACGATTGCATTTGCCCCAATCCTCTGAACCCGGTTGATAGGGCTGGCTCTTCTATACCTGCAGGCGTGCATCCATACGTTTGAGGCGTAATCCACGACCGGGGCCACAGTGGCTGTGAATAACTGCCTCGCTGCCCTCGGAGTAAGACCCCTGAGCCTCTGCAGCTCCATCGCGGCGTTCAATCCCTTGGCCGCTGCCCGTGCTATGTGCTCTTTGTATTTGAGGCCAGCATCCATAATCATGCCGAGAACCTTGACCTGGGTCTTGGGCCGAACAAGCTGTCCCCTGATTGCAAAAGGCTCTGAGTCGGACTTGTATGCTTTCCGCGTGAAGTGTATGATCGCCGTCTTTTCTGTCTCGAACGTTGCGCCACTTCTTCTCTCCCAGTCTAGAGCTTTCTTAATGATCCCTTTGATCCCATCGCGGTTACTTTCTGCGGTTGGACCTGTCACCCAGTTCAATGCTAGATTACTGACGCTGAACCTGCACCCGACTGTACCTAAAAATACCTTAGTGTACATTCTCCACTATTTTACAGTATGGGAATGTCCATATATAGCGAACAAATATGCGTGATTGATTTATTCCCTGGTATTGAATGCATGTAAATGCAGCGACTGAAGAGAGATTTAAATATTCTGGGAGGGTGGGGATTTATGGGAGGGCCAGAATTGGGCTTTGTTAGATCAACTAGTACCAGTACCTTCAGGTACGAGTCTGGTTTGTTACATGCCTAGAAATAACCCCTGTTAAAATAGTTATTTAACAATACTTGCGACACCCATTTCGCCTTTTACTGTATCTCGAAGGAGTATTAACATAGTTTGGAGCATAACCAGCTGCCTCTTTAAAAATATATACTAAATATAAACTGACTCTCTACACAGTGTGATTTACTAGCAAATGCACTTTATACAAAGTTTATATATTTTGGAGACTTGGAACTAAAGCAGTTCTTTGTTCCATGTTTTTGGACTTGGCCTAGAAACAGGCACTCTTATCTTCGCTCCCTTATAGAATAAAAAATAAGTGGTATATATATAGGTAAGTATATATATATTATCACTACTTGCATTCATTCTATAGAATCTAGTAGCATGTTTTATCATTAATATACCACAACTACTAAGCCTTCCAAATGAGGTTCTATAGCATATCGCCTCTTGTTTTTCTTTAAGAGAAAAATATAGATATCTCGGAACCTCGAAGAAATCATCTCGTGCCTTCTATAATACTGATCTAGAATGTAATGAGATCTGGGGTAGGATTTTTAAGGATACATCCTGGTTAGAGCTAATGAGTTCAAGAGGACTTGTACCTGCTCTTATAGGGGTTGATATACCAATCTTACCTGAAATCGATGAGGGTGTCTTAAAACATGGGGAGAGGCTTCCAGTTCTACTAATTTGCGTGCCGCGGAAAAAACAACCTGCCCGGCAGCGAGTTATAGATAGAAGAGCTGGCAGACCTTGGCCTCAAATTAAGATGGATAAAGAACTGCTCATACGAACTCTGAAATCAAATGAAGGGTGGCACACCACGTATGATGAGCTCGACTTCCGAGGCTTTAGGCTTTTGGTGGGAGTTGAAACCCGCAGAAGGTTTCATCACATTGAAGAGCTTCTTCACGAAAAAAATGATGCGACCTCGGTGATATACTTTGGCCTAAATGATAATCAAGGATCAACAGCGGTATTTAATGTACCAGTTCGAATGGTCGAGAATAATGAGGAGTGGGAGCAGGTAGGATTCTCGATAAAGGATAAGAAAAGAGATAAATTTCTTGGCCGTTACATTGAATATCTTTGAGAGATAGTTTGTTACGAACAAAGGCCTCCCCTATAGGCTGCCGTAGTCACGTGTGGACCCACCTCAGGATTGGAGCGACAAGAGCTGTGCGCTCCTGTCGCGGGAAGAAAAAAACTTTTCACAACAGCGAGAACAAATTTTTGAAACAACTACTCCAAACAGCACTCGAACGTCCCTTCGACGGGTCTATTGAATAGCCTGAAGCCTAACGCATCGCCCAGTGCGTCTTGGACCATGGCGAACTCGTGGCCCCAAGAGGTGGCATGGCCTGACGGATTCCGCGAGCATGCCACGCAACTCGGCAGATACCTCAGAGATGCCCTCCTGTACATCGAACGCGTGAAAGACCAACCCGTCCCCAATGACCTGGCTAAGATGATGGCTATGAGCGCACTATCTTTCGTTAACAAAATCCACAACATTCCCGACCTCGGTACCATACACGACGCGCTTCAAATGGCCCGAACCGAATCGAAAATCACGGCGGAAAATACGATGCAGGCCCTCAACGATATCAAAATGGAAGTCAAAAAGGCAGCAAACACAAGTCAGCAGGCGTTAGAGAGAATCTATGACAACCACGAAACACAAAACGAGATGAAAGCAGCAGCCAGAGAAACGACCGATATCGGCAAAAAGGTTATGATAATGGTGAGGGAGATGAAGAATACCGAACAGCATAATCAACCGAGCCCCCTACGGACCTACGCATCGGTAGCGGCGGGGAACGGGCTAGCTACAAGCATACACAATCCATTGAACCAACTCAAAGCGCCACCCGCGCAAATACTCCGTGAGATTATAGTAAACATCCGCAACCCACTCACCGTGGCGAGCCTACGGGCGATGAACCCGCGTAGTCTAAAGGCACACGTAGATCGTGCTATAGAACAAAGCGGCAATGAGCACATCGAGAAGATCAAGACTGCGTCCACTAACCAGCTGAAGAGCGGTGATCTTAGCATCAAGACAGCTACGGCCCCCGACATGGAAGTGCTCCGACAGTTCGCCGAGGATTGGGAACACCGGGTCGGCAACGGGGCCACCGTCCGCATTCCGACATACGGCGTTCTTGTACACGGTATCCGTACTAGCTCTATGGATGTAGAGCAATTTGAGGAAACCAGAGACAATATTTTACAGGAAAACAAACCATTCATCCCAAATGCGGGAATCAAATATATCGGATAGCTCACAAGGACATTCTCGACGAAGAGTGCCTCCTCTGTTATCGTGGAGTTTACCAGGCCTCAGGATGCCAATAAGATCATCGATGAAGGCCTGATCTGGCAAGGAGAAGTCTTTCAGTGCGAGCTATACGACAGGTCGTGCCGTCTGAGGCAATGCTTAGCTGCCAAGGATACGGCCACATAGGAACCCAGTGCAAGGCAATAAGAAAATGCGGCTACTGCACTCAAGACCACGGGTCCCGCGAGTGTCCCATGAAGTCTGACAGGAGCGTACCTCGGAAGTGTGCTAACTGTCAAGGTCATCATGAGGCATGGGACGACAGACAGTAGCGCACATCCTACTTCAATGCAGAAAGTACACTGCAATCCGAAAACAGGAGATAGGAAGATTCCAGCGACTTCAGGACCTCCGGGCGTTATTAACGGAGAGTAAAGTAGCAGCAAAGGTCGTCAAGTTTATGGAACGAACCCAGATCCTTGGGCAGTTCAGGATCAGTCCATAACCAGACAAAGCTAAGCACTGGGGGGAGACTGTAGGTAGGGAAGATGCAGATACGAGGCGGAGGGTCTGCCTCACTAGAAGTCGAACTTATATGTACGTTAGAATATTGAACCACCATCTACGGAAGCCAGCAGGCTGAGGTAGATAGAGGTTGAGAGGAAAAGTGGGAAGTTTGGAGGCAGCTGGTCAACACCGAAACGGGGTTGGCGAAGTGGGGCGCCACGGATAAATATTCGGAGCGCTTCGGCGGTCGGCCAAACCCCACTAGCCGGGCATAGCTGCTGTTAAGTAGCGGCTAAAACCGAGTAGGAATACAACCAACCAACCAACCAACCATGGTCGACAAGATCGCAACGATCACGTCGCTCACCCATAGTATATATACACATTCATTTCTTAGCTAGAAACACTCTTTTAGACAGTTATCAATGCAATCGCTACCGCCTTCATTGAAACTAGCTCCTCAGTGCTCGCACATTAGCAGTGACTCGCACAGCACCAAGACAACCTGATCGCGCCACTCAGAATAACACTCTGATTGATTCAACCCTGACCTACCCTAGACCCCCATCCAGTGTAAGTCGCCCAACCGTCACACATTCTTTTAAATAGTTATTAATATAATTACTACTATCTTTATTAAAACTAGCTTCTTAGTACTTATATATTAGTAGTATTTTATATAATACCAAGATAATCTAATTACCCTATTTAGAATAACTCTAATTAGTTATATCCCTGACCTACCCTAGACCCCCGTCCAGTGTAAGTCAACCAACCGTTACAGTCAGAACTACACTGAAATCACAAGGGAATGGTCCGATGTGACCTACCACTTTGTGTCGCCCATTCGCAGCTTTGTTTTTCCGACTCGTTATCCGGAGTTCCCTAAGTGCCGGTCCAGCTGATGTTTAATACCTGGATTGCTTTCCCCATCTCCAGACAATTTTGAGCTGAAGGAAGCTCTGTATTCTGCTTGTCCATGCAACCTTCCTCACATCTTCCTGCCAATTGCCTAGCGCCTGTAAAAAGTTCCCTTCTACTTTGGCTTGAGCCATAAGGTGATTATGAGTAGCCGATTAGTGAAGAAGTCGGATACAATATGCTGTTTCTTCCCATTGAGCGTGATATTTTCCGTAGCTTATGCGTTCGTATCGTTGCACCCCGTAATGTATATATAGATGATCGCTAACGTAAAGAGGATATATAGCACTACTTTATCAAATATGATTTGGATGGTCATAGCCATACTGGCAAGCTCTAATACTACTCCAATAGTATTGACGGAATATACCCCCACGAGATGAATAGAATCGGAGCAATGAAGTATCGAATCCAAGCTGCCGGGATTTTTGTCCTTTATGGTATTCGTAAGGGAGCCACATTATATGAGAAAATACAACTTTCTGAGCATTCCTTTGATAAAACTCCATGACTCTATCACTTGCCTGTCGCTCGACTATGCTTGTCATGTAATGGATGAAAATAGAAATGATCCACGAGCTCAATGATCCTGTATGATGCTGTCGGAGGAAAACACTGAGCCGGTATGGAAGCCAAATTATAAAGAAAAGATTGGCCAAACGGATAGCGATGAGGATCATGATGAACATCTGCGTCCAAAAATCCCAGGGAGGCATGAGGAGAGGCTAAAGAACTGAAAGCCGCTCTTTCACCCAAGCTGCGTTGTTCAGAAGCGGCTGTGCCTCCTCATCAGCTGTCCCCGCTGCGTTACGTAGAAGCGGTTGTGCCTCCTCATCAATCACCTTCGGGCTGGACCTGGTACAGGGTGCTATAGTAGTGGGGAGGAAGATTTCGAAGATCCATCGCAAAGTATGGATTAAGAGGAATCTTATGCTACCCCTCTGCGCCGAAACGATCGGCAATCGCGGCGCCGAATCCATCCGCACCTCCTATGCGCATACGTGAGTAATGGAAGTAATGTAATGGAATAATGAATGGGACACTTGAGAATCGCAGACTTACCAGTTACGAGAGCAACTCTTGAGTCGCAAAGAGCTGTAGCGGCCATTGTGGTCGTTATTTTACTACAGTCGTCGTCTTGTAATTATGGTCTAGGAGGGGCGTTTTTGGGCCGTGTTTTCCAGGTTTTGGCGAGAGACGGGGGCCTAGGGATCGTTTTGGGCAAGGAGCACCTGGTGCCATGACTTTTAGCCTCCCATTTGTTGCTCAGTGCGCCGGGCTCCGCTTAGTCTCTCATGCTACGGAGCATTGCCTCATCACTCGGAGCAGCCCGGGAGCCCCGCACCCCGGCACATCAGCAGCCAATCCCTGCCCGGACCCACAGGCCGGCCAGTTAATTTATCACCGGGTCTTCACCCCTTTATATTCAACTGTCGGTAACCCCGTAGGCAGTATAGGACAAGGTGCACAGAATCGGACGTCAGAGTCTTGTGAAAACAGAAAATGTCGAAATTTCTAGGTATCCGTCTCTCTGTCGCGACCAGTTCGCTAGGCAAGACCGCCGCTGGCTATCACATTCGTCAGAAACTGAGAGCAGCGCGGGCGCAGGGGTTTGACGGCGTGGAAGTTGCTTTCGATTGCCTCGAGGGCCATGCTCTGCTTGAACCATTCGCGAGTGAGGATTCTCGAGCTAGCCGTCTACTTGCTGCCGCACAAGACATTTATACCTTAGCCAGCGCCGAGTCCTTAGAGATCATTGCCTTGACGCCATTTGGCGCTTACGATGCTCTTGAACACCCTGATGATGTCCAAGATCGATTACAAGAAGCTGAATTATGGCTTCAGATATGCGAGAAACTCCGAGCTCCGATTCTTCAAGTTAGTTGAGCTCTTTAGTCCTAATGCGTATGCTGAACGTCCTCTGCAGGTCCCAACCTTCATTCCGCCAACAAACAAGAAAACTACATCAAACATTAACAAGATCGCCGACAACATGAGACGTCTAGGACAGCTTGCGCGGAGCTATAATAAGATAATTGCATATGAAGGTGTGGCGTGGGGCATCTACACCGACAAATGGCAGCAAATACGAGATATCATCGAACTGGTCAATCTCCCAAATGTGCGTCATTGTCTCGATACATTCCATATAGCTGCCTGCTTAGCTGGCGATCCATTCAATGCATCCGCACCGGTCCGACCCGAGGGGTTAATCGAGCTTGGTAAGAGCTTGGAAGAGCTGAGACAAACACTTGATCCAAACACGATCGGATATTTCCAACTAAGCGATGCCACGGTGGCAGATCCAGATCAGAGAGGTTATGCAAATCCAGATCTTAGCCAGCCTCCCTTTATGGTACAATCCCGCAATTGCCGAATTTATCCTTGCGAGCCAGAGCATGGTGGGGCCCTGCCTGCAGTAGATGTTGCTAAAGCAGTCTTCGACACTGGCTATCGAGGATGGGTTTCAATGGAAGTTTTCCACACTGATTTGTGGAAGTACGGCGAAGAGTGAGTATATCCTTTTTGCACTGCAATTTCCATGCTAATATCCAGTATCAGCACGCCTCAAGAATGGGCACGACGGGGAAAGGTATCGTGGCAAAAGGTCATGGAGGCATGTGATTTAGGCGCAAACAGCCCTATGTAGGCTGGCAATCAGGATTGATATGTCAATTTAAGGCCCAAATTTTTGTGTGTGGTAAGCATGAAAGACAGTGAAATAAAGATGAAGTTGGAATAAAAAGAAGACTTTAAATACATTCTCGAGAAATGCAGTAGGCCATGACGATTTTCAAGACGTAAATGCTCCAACAAGCTTCTCATGGCATAGCCTCTTGGACTTGCGACATTTAGCTCAATCATCTTAACATCCGGCAAAATGCTGCAGTGCCTACTACCAAGTAGCCTTTTCCACGAAGAATATGGAACCGTGCGGAATAGAATAGTGTACTGTATGTTATTTCTTTGGGCTTCTTGATACGAAACTGCAAAATCACGCTACCAGAAAAGTCTCAGCTCAATGGAAATAAACATCCTATGAAAAACTCCATAGCACTTGCAAAAACGTCAAACATTGCCTTAAGCTTATGATTGGAAGAGGCTTGAGCTGCTGTGAAATTGGTAACTCCATCGTGGTGGATCCCATGAGTCCAGTGGCAACACGCTAGTGAGAGACCGGAGCTAGATTAATGAACCGGTCGCATGAGCCAGTAGCGTGTTCAGCATTGAAGTTGCCAGTGCTAGTCGCTCAACAACATATTAATTTGTTCACCCGGCTCTCCAGGAGGACAAAACCTACTCGAAGTTGTTACAGTTTCCATAGAGTGGTAAATCCAGCCAATTGCTCCTGGTTATTCTATTACGCTTTGAAAAATGAAGACGGTGAATGTTGACGTCTTGGTGTGCGGCGGAGGCATGTCCGGAATGGCTTGCGCAGCCTTCGCCTCAGCAGCTGGAGCTAAGGTCCTGCTTGTCGAGAAGCAATCAGAAGTTGGAGGATCCTCCAACTATTCTGCCGGCATGTTGTAAGTTTCCCAGGTCGTGATTGACTCTATTGCAGTCCACTGAATCTGACTCGTCTCGTTTCAGTTGGGCACCCAAAAACTTTGCCAGCATGAGAGAATGGGTAGCCGACGGTGATCCAAACTTACAGCAAGCTTGGCTTCAGGACTACCTTCCTGCTGTCCAATGGATGAGAGAGAATGGTGTGCCAACATCGTCAAGATTCGGGCCCATCATGACAATCGGTTTGTCTTTCCCAATCCTTGTGTTATTTTTCTTTGACCTCAAACTAACTTGGTGCTGTAGGTATCGGCTACCCGATCAAGATAAAATCTTTGCATAATCATCACAAACAGAGAATTTCTAGCAGCAAAACAGAATCGGAAATCCTTCTCAATTCACAAGTCGTTAAGCTGATCCAAGAACAACCCTGCCTCCCGGGATCAAGTGTTACCGGTGCCATCATCCGAACGAAGTCCTCACAGCAAGATGCCCCAAGCTATGTTTTGGTCAACGCAAAGCAGGTTGTACTTGCTACAGGGGGGTTCCAAGGTTCGAGCGAGCTTAGGTCCACCCACCTGGGGCCGGGGGGCAGTGATATCTTTGTACGAGCGAATGCCGGGTCTGTTGGCGACGGCTTGACTCTTGCTACAACGGTGGGGGCTGGATTGAGCCGGGGACTGGACACCTTTTACGGCCACCTAATGGCGGCACCGGTTAGGAAAGAAGACGTTTCTCCTAGCGATTATCTGCCACTAGCTCAATATCGTAAGTGAAAACAGCAGTCTCAATAGGGATTGTGGTTGTGTGCCAGTTTGCTAACACGTTGACGTAGAGAGCAAGTATTGCATTTTGATCAACGAAGACGGAAAGAGGTTCGTAGACGAGACCCTCGGTGATGAAGTGGTCAATCAATGCCTCGCCAAGGAGAGAGGCAGAAGAGGCTTTATTCTATTTGAGTAAGTTTATCTATCGCCCATTCGGTGCTACGTTAACCCTTAACAAGTGAAAAATCTCGGGCTGAGCACTGTGTGTCAGCCCTTTTCCCCAATGCCGGGGATATTGACCGTCTGGAAAAAGCACGGTCCTATGGCTGTAACGTCGCGAGTGCTGACACTCTTGATCAACTCTGTACTATTCTAGAATCCTGGGGCGTAAATGGCCCACAGGCGAAGCAAACAATGGACCAGTATCTCAAGGCTGTCGGCCAAGGGGATTCAGCCACTATTCTAGAGGCTTCAGTTGGAAAGATTGGGCAGCCTCCACGACCTCTGGTCGAAGGACAAGGTCCATTTTACGCCATGGAAGTACAGCCATCGTATGTGTACAATTATTACATTCACCCGCCACGGAACAAAGTACTCACAGGCGCTCTTTTAGTATCACGTTCACCTATGGCGGAGTGTCTATTGATACAGATGGACAGGCTTTGACACCTGACCGCAAGCCAATCAACGGCCTATTAGTGGCTGGCGTGGATGCCGGTGGGTTCAGCAACGTCACCTATGCCGGAGGACTGGCGCTTGCGTTTGTAACTGGTTTCTGGGCTGCTCGAACCGCTACACGTGCGTTGAATCTACAAGAGCCGAAACTCCCGCTACCAAACCCCGAGGATATGGAGAAGGAAGAGCGATCGGTAGTTATGAGATCTCAACTGTAACACCTAAATACATTATACTTCAGAATTAGACTAGTCTACCTCTAGAACAAGTACTAGTATCACCCCATTAGTTTAACTGAGATTAATCCCACTAGCCCCAAGCTTGAATTGCTTCTAACCTACCTTGACGTGTCCATAGAACTAGAGCGAGCTGTGAATAACTAGCACCTTGAACTCAAGACAGAGTACGAGGCTTCAACTACAGTCATACTAAACGCTTGGGAAAGAATGGAGAAAATAAGATGAAAGAGAAAACAAAGTGTTGTGGCGGTCCACGTGACCACACACCGTTTGTAGGCAATCCTTTTGGGCCATTAGCCACTGCTCTGAAGTGTCTAGATAGCTTCATCATCATTCATCATTCTTTTCCTCCATGCCTAGGGCTATGTCGCCCTATCACACAAAGCAGCATCCAAATACAAAGGAAACATGACCTTGTGAAATTTGCGATCGTATTGCGGCCTCCTTAGGAACCTGAGGGGTGGATCAAACATTGATTGTACAACAATATAAGTATTTAATTGACTTTAGAATCAGCCACAGTATATCGTCCAAAAACCCGCACTAGGCTTGCCTCGCATGTTGAGGAGAGAATCCTGCTCGTTTACATAAGACTTGATTTGATAGAAGATACTATTGAACCACAATCTCCATTTTCAATTCAATTTAAATTGCGATACCTATGTGTATAGTTCATGTTCTAGCCTCACACGTAACATGTATCTTGATCCCACACAGTAGGTATCATGGCATATTTGCGTACATCTTTGCCATGTTTGCGAGTTGTTTGTTCCCACCCGCCAATGATTTGCCTTAGCCTGAATAACGGAAATGCTTGTTCTGGCGATCCGTTTCGTCTCTGTAGGATTGAATTAGTACTTTTTTCCAGGGCACTGGAGTGATTTGACTATAGTTGAGAACCGGGGAGCACGAAATTCCATTCTTACCTAAGCCCTGACATCAGATCATCATTTTCGTCTCCAGTAGTATAAGCTGGGTTTGTCAAAGCTAACTTGTCGCGTCTAATATTTTCTATCTGCATCATGCCCCAGGTTGCCAGTGTTAGTACGATAAAGGCACTCAAGGTCCTAGAAGACAGCCGAATCATTAGCCTAGAAACTATAGACAGAGTAGCAGGGATTTTGCGTACGCCATCACAAAAGTCAACCCCGTAGGGTAGCTTGGACTCTCACTGCCAAGGAACGTCTGGGGAGTGATGATATTGATGATACAATACAAGAAGAAGGTCATCGAAGTTGTGACCTGCTTCTTCGTAAAGCCTGCCACATTTGCACCAATCACGGACATGATGACTGTATAATTGACACCTGCACAAGATATAGTAATAATTGCTCCCAGACGACGTGACTGATACTGGGGTTCTGGTGGCGTAATGTAGAGAACTATTATCCCAATGAGTGAGATGATACTGGCAGCAGCAGTCAGTGGCTGCTTGTAGTTTTGGAAACGGCTCAAAAATGTAGGCGGAGCAGACACGAGAATTTGGGTAAATGCCTATTCAAGATGTTAATAACTCTATGTACTATTTCGAGTGATCTCATACCTGAGCAGCATAATTAGGGGCGGTGAAGAGCTGGGCTGTTAGTGCTGTATATCCGAAACCCTGCATATTAAAAGTTAAACCTGTTCCAGTATGGCTATCTGGTCGTCAAATTTACCTTGATGATAATCCCCAGGAAATTAGTTGTGACGTTACCAATAGCCTGGGAAAGGAACATTTGCATAACTATCATCCAGAAATGATAATCGGTGACAGCTTCTCTAACTTGTTCCCATTTGAACCGAGCTGCATCGATATTAGAATCCGGAGCAAAGCCCTATAATGAGATAGAAACTTACCATTCTTTACTCCGTTCTGGCAATCGGCAAGACGCTTCACTGCAATTGCCTTTTCACGATCGTTTAACCATCGCGCGGTGATTGGGTTGTCTGGCATACAAAAATACTATGGAACGGTTAGTTCCTTCCCAAAAGGATAGGTGCTATTATCCCTTACTAGTAAAATTCCTGTCACACAACTGATGATTCCAAGAAGGAGAAAGATCAAACGCCAAGGGACCTATCATATCTGTCAGAGAAGTTCCAGATGGAGGTCCGTATAGACCTTACAAGCGGCCCTCCTGTGACCTGACCAAGACCTATTACTTGGTAAGCTATTAGTCGATTAGGTCTAAGATCCTTACTTACCCCAGTAGATCACCAAGAAAGGTACAGGCAGAATACCGTTAGTGACCGTCCACAGCCCAAAGCGGAATGGTTGCTCTTGTGGAGTATACCACATCGTGGTCCTAAGCTTAATTAGCTAGTGATTGCATTGCAACCATGGGACTCATCATACACAAGCAATAGGCCAGGAACAAGTGCAGATTCGAAGCATCTGTGTAGAGTATGGTTAGAAGCTGGATTGACTTGGGCGTCGGAAGTTCTCACCCAAGAAGAAACCTCAGAGCCATCAATGTTGCGAAATTTTGTGCTCCCATGCAACCCAACAATGTTAGGCCCCACGCAAAGTAGGCGAATCCCATAACTTTTCCGGCGTGAAAGTACTGCAGAGCACGTCCAGAGACAAAAGAGCCTGCCAGATATCCAAAATAGAACATCTGCCTTCGGTTAAGAACATGATAACACAGGCCGTTCTTTGTCAGCACATACCGAAACACACCATGAGTACTCCTGGCCTACGAGATGCAAATCGTCGCGGAGGCCATAAGTGGCTGCTGCACCGAGAGCGGACTGGGAAGATTTAGCAGGAAAGACCACCTTCAGAGGTTCGATATTTTCGTCCTCACCTTATCGACGAACTGAAGCCCACAGGACCAGGCAGCAAGGGGAAGAATACGCCAGTCAATTTTGCGGACTATGCGTCTTAATTCTGATTGGGGTCAGTACAGATCATGTGCACAGCTATCAGGCGGAATCACCTTCTTCAGAGAAGTCCAAGTTCTGTCCTTGTAGAGCTTGAGCGGCAATATCGACATCGCCTTGAGTGCCTGCCTTTTCCATGACAACTCCTTCTTGGTGGTCGATGCTCGGCTCCAATTTAGAGGGTGTCATCTGCTCTGATGCGCTGTTGGCGGCCATTAGATAGGTCTCCTAGATATCGCGAGGTGTTTTCTATGTCCTATCAGGAAAAGTAATCAAATCCCCTTTGTAGAGCACGATACATCTTGGAGGATAGGTCGAAATTTTATGCTTTCATCGCTCTTCAGGCGCATTCAGCTCAATACGCGAAAATCGTCTTCAGATTTCCGACTAAAATGCCGGTCAGTTATTTAAACTACCGACTGTGCCACTCGTGCCGGGAGCTGGAGAACACAGGCCACTAGCGCCAACACTAGTAATGACGCTAGCTAGTCATCCAGAAACCAAAACTCTGGGGTATGCGGGGTTGTACCATTCACGGGGTATCCCCGAGTCTCTGCTAGGGGGTCTTGGGTAATCTAGCCCCTCAAGTTACAGGAAGGTAGTTCATTCCAAGCCAGAATTTCTGGGCGAGTCGTGTCTTTGTGATCTCCGGATGTTCAACATGTCTGCCGGTGCATAGCGATCACAAGACACCTATCCCTACGGATCGCGCCGGACGTCAAGATAGGAGTGCAGGCGCAGTGGGCCTGAATTTGATTTCCTGGCAAAAGTATCAAGACTTCTGTAGCGCATGGAAGCTTTTCAATGAACCATTTACGAATTTCTACATACAAAATCAGATTATACGATGTGTCACATTTCGATGCTGCCGCACTTAAATGCCGCGTGAATTCAGTGAACAAAATCCACGACCATTCATCGAAAGCCTGTGCGAACAAACCTCATTCGAACTACCTCAGGGGTATGAGATGCATTTATAATAGCATCTATGTAACTATCTTGGCTAATTCTTATTCTAATCATCTAGACCTTCAACCTTAACCGGGGCTCGGAGCTCTAAACTCTTGAATATTGCCTCTACCACTAAAACGGCCTTGAAAGCATCCGTGACCGAGCAATTAGGATCAACCTGCCGCCGGATAGCAGCAACAAAGTGTTTTAGTTGTCCTTCATGTGGTGATGCTTCATCGACATACTGCTTGAGGGAATCATCTCGCTCTATGGGAAAGTTCCAGTTTCGTTCTGCTTCCGGTCGGTTGTCATAATGGAATCGAGTACTACAGATATTAATAATAAAGCTTTGCATCAGATATCAGCCGCAACGTACTATACAGGAACGCTGATCGATCCTTTCGTACCGATGACCATAAGTTGCTGTTCACCGGTCTTTGGATAGCTTGCGTTTTCCGCAGTTGCAAACTCCCATGAGTATGGAGATACCACGATGCTGCCGATTGGATTAAAATTTGAACACTTAAACAGTCTGTTAAGCTGCAGTACTCACTCCGATAAGAAAAATGATCCAACGGCCCTGGACGCAAATTTCAGCACAATTTACACTGTCGATTCAATGGGGTACGGTCTCTCCCTGATACCTTCCATGGCGTAGATCTCTACGGTATCACCAAGCCAATATTGAAGAAGGTCGACCTCATGGATAATGTTGGTGAGAATCTGTCGCTTGTCAAAACCATGTCTTGCTTAGCCAACACCGGATCGGAAACATACGACACCACCCGAACCAGCACTTCGCCGCCATGGAATCTCAAAATAAGCATCGGGCTTGCGTGCCGCCCATACTAAATCTGTGAATAATGGCGACCGACAATCAAGAGGTATACATACTTCCATTCACCGCAACAATCTTACCCAGTTTGCCACTATCGATGGCCTTCTTCATTGTGGCAGCAGCCGAAGAATGTCTTCGGTGATGACCGACCATGTAGATGCCATTTTTATCGGCAGCACAGGCTTTCAGAAGCGCTCTACCCTCGACGCCATCTACAGCCACGGGTTTCTCAATCAAAACAGCTAGCCCACTACCTACTAGCGCCGTGGTGAGGGGAGCGTGAGTTGGGGTCGGAGTAGCTAGAATGATTCCGTCTGCGAGCACCTTCCCCATCGCTCTGGCTCCTAAGAAACCTTCGACAGACTCGAAGAATGGAACATTGTGTTCTTTGGCTACATTTACGGTATTGGGATGACCGTCACTAGTCCCAGAGTCAAGTTTGTAAATTAGTGTAGTGCCGTTCTCGCTCACATCAATGCCACGAGTTCGACATCGGGTGATTCGAGAACGTAGCGCAAATGCACCTGTCCAATCACCCCACAAACACCGGCGATAGCCTAGAAATGTTAACCCCATTGCATGAGTCAATCAATGAGCATAAATTGCTTACAATTTTGACTTGCGGGTTGGCCATTCCAAATAGCACCCCACCAATCTGGGAAATTAAATGAAGCGATCAAGCGCGTAGGCCTTTTAACTTCCGCCGATGGCCAAATATTTATTTCAAGTGCAGATGCATTCGTAATGGGTCAGATTCCAGCTAGACGTTAGTGCGCATATGCATTGTCACTAAGATAGGGCCGCCCGGCGACCGGCATTCCAATAGAGCAAAAAGTGGCCAGGGGGGATAGAACCGGTGCTTTTTTTATGGGAATTAGTACCATTGATAAATAAACCCTGAGCGAAAGAGGCCAGGGGGTAAGAACCGGCCCTTTCTTTTGTAATCCCATATTTGTCGGCAGTGACACCTGCGACGATGGCTCCGCAGAAGGCTCCAGCGGCTGCAAGGGTGGTGATAAGTTCTTTATCCGTATCGTTAAGGGCTTTGTTGTCCAAATCGGTGCCCAAAACGACCAACACGCCAGAGATGACGCCCGTGTCGTAACCGAAGAGTGATCCACCGATGGCAGTGGCAGCTGTACATAGCCAGACAAACGCCCCAGGCGTTGTATCCTCGATAGAATCATACACATGTGCCTCCCTGAACGCTGTCACGCCTTGAGAAGCATCAGGTGATGGGGTCCTCTTTGAATTATCATCCGAGGTATTGTGCTCAAAATGCTGAGACTGGGTTGAAAACCTTTTCCACAGACATGGTGGCCAAATCCCGATGAACAGTAGTCTTTGGGTTGTGGCAAATTGCAATACTCAAGTGTAAGGAAAGCTGTGTTCAAGTAAAGTGACGTGATGATGAACCAATTTGATGATATTGGATGGATTCGGTTCTCCCCAGCTTACATAGACCGAGGGCATGAACACTTGAGTCTTGCCGAATTGGCATTGGTTAAACGTGGGGTATCAACGCGTCCCAGTAAGGCAGACCCAAACCCCAGGATACCGTCAACAAACCTTGACTTTTCTCTGCCTGTTACAATCTGGGGTAATTTCAAAATCAGCAACAGTGTTCAAACTGCCCAGTGTTCGTGGCGCAACTAGTCATGTTCCGACTCACTCCGACCCACTCTTGGGCTAGGCAAAATTCTGCAAGCGGCGGGATTTTCTTCCGTTTGTGCGAAAGCGGTCAATTCTCGCCGCTGGCTCAATGGGCAACTGTTGATTGCATATCCACATGGGGTGATAACCCCGGATCCAACCGCTGTGGCGGTTGGATCATCCTGAGCACAGCTCTCGTGGATGTCCTGCCTCTCCAGATCACTTTTCACTTTTCGTTGACGGGATGAAGGGAGCAATAAACCCCGACATTTGCATCGCAGGCACGGGCCACATGCATGCATGAGTCGCGCCGGACATGACTCGCAGAGTGGCAGCATTTCGGGGATACGGTCATGTTAGCAGGGATGAAATGCAAGCAGTGGAACCACCCTGATCTGGGGGCTGGGGCCCCAGAATTTGGGATCTCTGCAGGCAATAAAACCCGGGCTGCCGTGGGGAAATGACCTGGTTTGTGGGATGCTTGGCTCTCAAAGTGCGAGGTAGGACGGCGTATGCTCGAATTGCCTTTCAGGACATATTCATCCATTTTCGCCTTTCTTCAACCTGACGATACGGAGATTAACAATCTCACCGGCACGGTACTTGCGTCGTGAAGATCTGTGTGGGCTGCTTGGTAATCCCTCAGATCAAATGCGAAGAGTTGCCTCACTCCGTGGCCAGACCTTGCTGGGCCGTCATGCCGAAATTGCCTTTTGAGCTTGGTAAGCTACAGCATGCTGTATACGTTTCTTGAGAGTGTTTCCTGGAGATTTGTTTCGGGAAATCCCTCAAATTTCTAGTTGACTCTAATCCAATTGAAATGAGATTGCCCGGGGGATCTAGCACCCCGTCTTGAAAAGATAGACTGGTACCAAAAGCATCTCAGTACATGCCCAACAGACAATTCAGCTAGTGATTCTGTGCACTCGTGCATCTTGCCTAGACCAGCTGCCGAGCCCTTGGTTTGGGAGACCCAAGAATTTAGATAGCCAATAAAACTACTGTTAATTTGCTTTTAGGGGTGTGGGGTAGACTTGACTAGGTTCCCAACTAGCCTGTTGCTAGGTGCTACTCAAACCCTCGCGCATTCAAACTCCCTCCTAGCTTTCACGCCTGTCCCTATTAATTCCCCACGTTTTCTAGGGTTTTCTTCAGCGCCACGACCTCGATTCCCCGCACACCAGAGTTGTCTGCTCGGGCCCGGGACGATTGCTTGCGGGCTTGGTTTTCCACTTCGCTTCGAGCCACGAGGTGTTTGCATAATCGTGCATACGCGCGCTGTCGAGACAAAACCGCCGGAAAACTGCGGATGCCATTATAACAGTAAATCGCAACTAATCCATTTGCCCTCTCTGTCTCTGTGCTGCCACGTTAGCCACAGCGTCATGGAATCCTCTGCCGCCCCGAACACGACCGATGCCCCAGAAATTCCGAGCAGCGCGACTTCGGCAACCCCAGCATGCGAGGCATGCCGTAAACTCAAGGTAACAGGATCATTGCAGGAATGCAACTCTACGAGTGCTGATTTGATTGCAGATGCGATGTCTCCGGCTGAATGCTGCGGATCCGTGCGAGCGGTGCAGACGCAACTCGAGGGCCTGCGTCATCCCGAAGCCGCGCCCGCTAGGCCGCAAGCATGGGTCAGTGGGAAAGTATCACGGCGTTGAGAAGGCGATGCGCAAGATGAAGTCGGAGCTCCGCAAAGCCCAGGCATCAGGGGACCGCGGATCGAGCACTCCGGCTCTCCCGGAGCTGTCTTCAGAAGACGGGCTACTGGCACTCTTCCACGCCGCCGCTGCGTCTCCAAAAGTGCCCAAATCTGCGCACATTCCCAAGGACACGCCGGCTTTTACCGCGTCGGATGAGTTTGCGAATTCATTCCCGGCAGAGACCTTTGAGGACTCCTTGTCGGAACTTCCTGGGACAACAGCCCAAGCAAACTCAGCTGGCCCAGTGGGCGCTCGCGTTCGTTCCGAGTCGCACCTCTTGTCGGCGTTGCCGGGCGGCAGCATGTCGCGATCTGCCGAGCAGCACATGGAGAGCCCGCGACTAAACGCCCGGTCATCGCGCCGGAGCGAGGAGTCCATCAGCAATCCCCTGGGTCTGGTCGCCGATGCTTCGGGAGAGGCACAGGCGCATGAGAAACAGTTGGTTGCGACATCTGCCTCACCCAACTCCACTACGTCTATCCTGGGAGTTGCTAACAATCCAGAGCCGCAGAGTATTGCGTGGCAGCTGCTCAGACGGCCTGGTTACATCTCGCTCGGGCTGAAGGCCAGCAGACAGAGCCTCGAGGCTGGCTTGGATGCGCTGTTCTCACATCCCGGGCTAAGCGATCACTGGTCAAACTACTTCAAACCTGTCGATGCAACCAGGCCCCCTGATGTCGGCCCCGACGTTGACCCAGTAGACCTTGGCCTAGTTACGATGGATGAGGCGCATTACTTGTTTCCCATGTTCGTCCGGTCCCATCCAACTGCCAAGCTGTAGAAAAGATCCGGCGCTGACCAATCGCTGCACCACGTTAGATATTTCGCCCGCCTACATCCATTCAATGGCATCTTGGACCCGCTGCTTCACACGCCCGAGTTCGTCCGGTCACACTCGGCACTCCTGTTCACGTGGATCCTCGCAATCACGGCTCAGTTCGATGTCGCTTCCGAGCCAATGGCGAAGCGGCTGCGGCTTCATGGCGAGAGTCTCTCCAAGCACGTCCATGCAAACGGCTATAGATCCATCGAGATCGCTCAGGGCTACTACATATCGCTTCTCTCGGCGAACCCGGCTCCGACGATGTCTGATGAACGATCGTGGATATATACCAACTATGCGTTTGGAATAGCCGCCGAACTGGTTCTAGACCACCAGTCCCGCTGGCACAACCAGTCTGCAAAACCGACAAGACCATCCACTCCGGATCCAGCGCCCGGATCCCAGGAGCGCCAAATAGGGAAACATGCAGAGATTGCTTTTCATCAATCTTATGCTGGCAAAGATCGAGCTCCATACCACCGCCAGCGGCTGGTGAGGAATCGAGAGCGGACCTGGCTGAGGATCCTTTTGTGGGAGCGAGCGCACAGTTCTGCTCGTGGCCGAATGAAATCGTTGCCAGAGATAGATCTCACGCGACGTATTGAAGAATGGTGGTCACATCCACTCGCGCACGCCGAGGACAAGCACACCTCCGCGTTCATTCTCCTTCGCCGTCAGCTGGTGCTTATACACGACGAGATTAAAAAGCAAGCCGATATGCCACATGAAGATCCACACTGGGTACGCGGTCTCGTTGATACCGCTCTTAGTCAGTGGCGGAGAGCATGGCTTCCAGCCTCTGACGCGTTTACAACGCCATCGGAGCAGATATCGAATTTGTTCCTCAACTATGTGTACATACACGGCAGGCTTTGGACTCTTTCGTTTGCACTACACGGACCGGCGAGCGGACAAGCTTATACCAAACCAACTAGAGAAGATTGTTTCGAGGCGGCAATTGATTGCTGCGAGACCGTAGTAAGAGATTTACAAGAGATTGGCGAACCACTCTACTGCATGCTAGCAACCACGTGGGCTATGGTAACTTACGCGGCCGTTCTGGCCCTGAAGCTCTTTCCTATCCTATATGGGAACCGTATAGGCTGCGAGGTCGAACTTCTCGCTCTTGTTTCACAAGTAGCGATGCAGATGGAGAAAGCTGGCACAACGCCATCTCATAGATTCGGCATTGCGGCGCTTCTAGGCCAGCATCTCTTCCATATTCTACGCATTAAATCAGGTGGCCTCAAGGACTACGCATTCAAGAACAGAGGAAGCGGAGATCAAGACGATCTACTAGCTCACTACTGGCCTAGTGAGCAAGCAGCAAGCATGGACAGGTTCACAATGCAGAATCAATTACTCAACTTTAATGAGGATTTGCTATCGCATGGTCCTCTGCTATCTCGGCTAGATCCTTTCATCACCGCATCTACGCAAGCCAGCGATGGATTCGTGATGGACGAAGCATTTGGTAGTATGCTAGGCGACTGGTTTGGCCAAAGGTTTGGTGGCACATTCTAGAATTGTCAAACTACAACTACACGCTCTTGCCTAGCTCAAAAACCTATAGCTTGTTTTGTCTCTCTTCACCCTCTACTGTTGCGAAGCGAATCTCGCCTTCCAAAACCCTTCTTACAAAGTTTGGATCTTCCCTGAGCGGCCTCCCAAGTCCACACATATCAATGTCGCCGTTTCCCACAGCTTCTGCCATGCGGTGACTATCGCGCCAACCTCCAGTCGTGCCAATAACGGCGCGAGACTGCTCGGTTAGCCAGGTTCAGAGAGGATACTTGCTTGACTTACTAGGACTTTTTTCAACTCTTGAGCCCATTCGATAAAGTAGCTTCATATATTAACGGGGTTAGCACAGCATGGTGGAAAAGAATATGTGATGACAGGAGGCAGCTTATATCCTTCCTGAATCCTGTCTTACCTTCCACGGTCTCTCTGAGACGGTCGCTGGGCAAGTTCCGTCATGATGTTGCCCCTCCAGGCCGGCGATTCATAAGTGCCTCCTGAAATGTCAAAGAAGTCTACTCCAGCATCTTCAAGCCATTTAATGACAACACACTGCTCGGCAAAGCTTTGGCCACCATCTATGACTGATAGTCCGCAAAATTAGAGTAAACTCTTAGTATATATGCAATCATATCATGGCGAGCAACGATGGAAACTCACAGTCTTGGCAATTGAACTTGGCCGCAAGAACGAATTTGTCAGATGGAAGCTTAGCCTTCACGGCGCCAACTAGCTCAAGTATGAAACGTGCTCGGTTCTCTAGGCTACCGCCGTACTACAAGACTTTTATGTAAACCTGTCATAAGTCGATTTGCACCGTTCGAACATACCTCGTCAGTTCGTCGATTCAATCTCGGCGACAAGAACTGGTTGATAATATAGCCGTGGCTCGCGTGCAGCTTGCATTGTTAACCTGGCTGGCTTTCCGAAGGTGGGGCATATCTTACGACGATACCATCCGCGCCGGCCTTAGCCAAGACATCCGCAGCCCAGACATATTGACCAGTCAGTTCCTTGATCTCGAGCTTGCTCAACGGAGTTGGCCTGCCGTACGTTTTCTTCAAACACGGCTCCAGCTGGACATCGGACGATGATCTGGGGTTAGGATTCAGAAACTTTGGCACCTGGCGGCCGGGGAATTGGAGTTGCGGCAGGCATATCGCACCACGAGACTTCGCAGCTCGGATAGCTGGTGCAAAGGCGGAGACGGCATCCCAGGGATTTCTGGAATCAAGGACGGCGTTGTTATAGTTCTCGAGATTATTTCGATCAACCGGGACGTTGCCGAAGCATATTAGCCCAGCGCCGCCATCCGCAAGCTCTACGCATAATTTCCGTGTTACGCTCCGAAGTAGAAAAACTGTATGGCAGACTTGCAGTCTCACCTTGATAAAGTTCCGCATATCGCGGAAGTGGCTTGCCTGTGTTTTCGATATCATTCTCGTCGTAAGTAGAGGCATACTCCGAGAGGGGTGTGCGATAGAGGCGATTCGGGATGGCCTTGCCGGAAAGTTTCAATGTGATGGGCTTCACAACTGATCAGCCCAATCTTGGCGCCAATGCCATGAGCGCAGCAGTTTGCTGGCCAGTGCTCTCTCAATATTTCTCACACTGATTCAATAGAACTATGGATTTCCACATACCTGTGACAAAGGGACGACTTCTGCGGGTAGGTGCGAATTCATTTCGAAAGCTGCTGATCATTTAAGTTCTAACTCTTGACACTGAGTCCGATCACGGATTTGGTCGTCGCGATTAACTGCCTACTTAGTTCACAATGGCACTCCCAATACTTTTGCAAGATGGGCCTGCGTTCCGGTCACAGCTTGCTCACGGGACTTTGACGAGGCGCACTTTTATCCCCGCCTGTGACCGGCCATTGCTTCAGGCATTTATATTTAGCAGCCGGACCCCCGGAGCGCTCACGAACCCCGCTCCTCCACCATCGTTCTGTGGAGCCTGCACCCAATCGAAACCAAGGCCGCATGCTGTCCACCTAGCCACTTGATGTTGTCGAAAGTTGAAATTGAATGCAGTAGACGGGACTCATACATGTCCTGTAGATATATCTTGATGGACTCTGCGATATACAAGGCTAGACACTTCTAAATACCAGTCTGACGAAAATTGATACCCCAAATCACTGATTGGAGGAGCCAAAGATGACCGCGTTCAATGCTTCCACCTGGTCACTTGCCCCGCACTCGCGTTCCTGCCACAGGATCTGCTGGGACTTCGAGACCTGAACTAGTACTTCTGCTCCCTTTATCGTGGTCCAGTTGTTTGCTTCTGCCAGCGTGGTAAGCCTTGTTTCGGCAGGAAAGTAGCACATATCCACCAGAACGCCGTGCTGATTCTGTTGTAAGAAGGTAGTGCAGGTCTTCCAAGCTGAGATTTCTTCTTCGGTACCAGGTTCAGCGTTAGGGATGGTCCCAACTACCAGGACCGGCGGGGTGAGCGTGCTGGCGCTCTCTGCAGTTTCAACATGACGCAGCTGTGCCTCTGGAATCTGTCGTCCCATGTCAGCGACAATTGCGTCCACCTCGTCCTTCCAACGATTGACAATGTAGATCTGCGATGGGGCGAACCATTTCCACAGTGCAAAGATTGCACTCCGGGCTGCTCCTCCACCACCGATTACGAGAGCCGGCTTGCCGCGGGAGCGTGAAGCGGCGTCGGGGGCCTTGAGAAGCAGAGCATCCCGAATACCAATACAATCCGTGTTGGTCCCGATGTACCGGCGGCGACCATTCTCGCCTAAACGGATAAACACTGTATTTACTGCCCCAATCGCTTTGGCCTCCTCTGTGATTTCGTCCATGGCTGCTATGAACTTTACTTTGTTAGGCATGGTTACAGATGCTCCAATGCAGGTTGGGCTCTGAATATTTTCTTTGAACTCTTCCATACTCGTACTCGCAAACAGATCGTAGCTCCATTGTGTTGAGTTTGACCTGAACAGAGTAGAATGGATTTGAGGTGATAGAGAATGAGCAATGTGGCTTCCTCCAAAAAGATACGTGTGGAGTGCTGAGGAATACGAACTCGGTGTTAGCGGCGAAGTTCCATAGTCGTATGAACGCTCGAGAATGTCCATTTTGCAAGACTAGCAGCCAATTCGGTCCGGCTTCTGAAAGATAATCGTCTGAAGGCAGCTGATGGTTTCCCGCATGCGAAAGGCTTATTAATGTATGGGAGAGGTGCATTTAAAGGGAGCGTAGCAGCTCGTTCAAATGCGAGAAACAGACCTCCAATCACTTGTCCCTCCCAATTCTAGCATGACTAGCGCCACGAATCAGCGCTACGCTCCAGCTAGGACGGCTTGTCGCATCCGGTGCATTATTATATCAACCGGACCATTTTCCGGACGTCATTGCTTGTGCTTACATTAAAATCCGAAAACAGCGCATTGCAAGAACTGGAGATCAGATACCCACCTCACGTTTCTGCATCACGAGGTTGCTTAAAATTGCAACGCTTGCGACTCGAAGGAGTAGTTCTCCTGCCTACAAGAAATAATTGGAACCGATTAACATGTCATCATTCCTTCCGATCGCCCGGCCTGTAGCCTGGCCTCCTACCTGCATCGAGAACGAGCTAGGAACAGCAACACTGTCTCTTGGAAATTGGAGAGAGCACAAACTAACACCACGGCTTGAGGCTGCTGCAAAGGCGGGCTTCAAGTGCATCGATCTGTTTGACGAATGTTGGGAGGCATACTTGGAAGAACACGGCCTCGATGGTGAGAAGCTGTGGGAAGCAACTCCAGAGAACCTTCGGGTCGCAACCAAGCTAGGAGATCTCGTAAAGTCTCTAGGAATGCGCATTGTCTGCACCCAACCCCTGCGCAAGATTGAAGGAATCAAGGATCAAGCCGAGAGGCAGGAGACACTTGATCTTGTCGCGAAACGCTTTCCGTTCATGAGAGCCTTCGATACCGACTTGGTTTTCATGTGTGCCAGCATCCGTAATGACGAAGGGGTAACTTCTGACCTCAAAACCGTTTCAAAAGACTTGGCTGAGCTAGGCGATATGGCCGCGGCGTTCTCTAAGGCCGATGGTGGAAGAATGCTCAAGGTTGGCTACGAGGGTCTATCATGGGCAACCCGCAATACGTGGTCATCATCTTGGGAGGCTGTACGCTCGGCCAATCGACCCAACGTTGGCCTTGTTGTTGATGCCTTCAACGTGTTAGCCGTCGAGTGGGCAAACCCGTATAACCCGGCTGGCCATGGCCGGGTCTACAGTACAGTAGAAGAATCAGTCGAGATATTGTGCCTATCACTCGCCTCGCTGGTAGCTTCTGTACCCGGCGACAGGATATTCTTCTTCCAGTGCGGTGATGCGGAGCGAATGGATCCCACTAAATTTCTACCGCCAACGGACCCCACTATGCCACCACTACTCCCGTGGTCTAGAAGCCATCGCTTATATCCATTCGAAGCATCTAGAGGTGGCTACATGCCAACAAATCTGGTTGCCGCCGCAGTTCTAGCAACTGGGTACAAGGGACCTATTTCTCTCGAGGTCTTCAGCCATACATTGAATGTCGGAGCCTCGAATGTGCCTACAGAACACGCAAAACGTGGGATAACCGGCTTGAAAAAGTTGACTGATGCTGTCAAGTCTATTCCCAAGTTCTGGGGTCACTCCGAGAAAGTTACCATAGACAGTTTAAAACAACTAATATGAGAATCCTTAGCTGAAGCCTTAGCAAACCAAATTGAGATTTCCATGCACGTGAGTAATACATTACACTCAGCGACGGAATGTTTGAGAATACATGACTATTCTCAATAAAATAAGAGTGAGCACACGAGTTTTCTAGAGAGGGCAATGGGGATGGCTCGGTTGTAATGGGGATGAGGATGGCGATGGGGGTGGGATTTCTGAAATGACCGTCTGGGTCAATCTAAGTATTCTGGGCCGTGGCGACGCTTTGTGCTGAGTGTACTATGGGCGCAAAGACGCGAGATCTCGTGATCATCTTGCAACATCGCCAGAATATTAAAGAAAACTTGAAGCGTAGGCGTCAATTGTATTGCAGAGAAGAAACGGTCCCCTTAGGGGATTACAAGTTACGGCATGACATTGTCGTGAGGATAGCTGCACAAGGCGCTACTGGATACGGAGCGCGGAGTTAGAGGCCATGGCTAAAAGATATCGCTCTGGCCGTGCGTGTCCATGACAATGGTTGCTAGAGCGTTTGTACCCAGGACTACATGTTTAGAGAGAGTACAAAGAGCTGGGGATTTCGATTTCGTTGGTTTAGTGTCCCGCCTGAAAGCGATAATCATCGCGCCACGCCAAGCAGCACATGGTGCCATTCAGAGGGTGTCTTATGACTTCCGCTGCAGCTTTAGCTGCCGCATCGGCCACGGTATTCCAGCTTCTTGGTATGTGCCACAGCTGGATCGATAGGCCGCTGTCGCTTCGTCTCTCGACTTCGCCTAGCAGCATCTCCCACAAATCCTTATTCTTCACATCGGCGTTGTTGTTAGTCCTCCAGCCTTTCCTCAACCAGGTCTTGACCCACGCCGTAGCACCCTTGACCACGTACTCGGAGTCCGTAGCGATGATCAGGATTCTGAAACCCTCACCGTGCCAGGCGCGAAAGCCGATTGCGGCAATGACAGCGCAAAGTTCGGCCCGGTTGCTACTCTGAACGCCTGGGTCGTCGAATGGCCCGCGGCTCTCTAAGCGCCCGCTGCAGATACCCCCTGGGCCGAAGACGAAGGCCCATCCAGCCCGAGGATTAGGCTGGCCGTTGTTCAAGCATGCGCCGTCCGAGAAGACAAGGACTTTACTAGGATCATTCGCGGTGGACATATCTAATTCGACATTTTAGTTTATCCAAATAGCTTATACATATGCAGGAGATCCAAGGTTGTTTCCTGAACCCAGCACAGAAGAAAGGCCTCGATATTTACCTCATTACTTCGATGCCTGTAAAACGGCTTGCCTCGGTAAATAATTCGAGGGGCCTAAGTGAGCTGGTGAATTGAGTCGGCAAAACGCGGCCAGTGCCTCTTATTCTCTCCAAGGCATGTCTTTGACTGCTGAACATAATCGGACCGAGGACAATGGGGATATTTAGTCCGCGATTGGGTCCATAGTAGTCTTCCCCGACGTGGTTTTGGTGGTCATCACACGCTCACCGCTCTGGTCGTCGTTGATGGAACTAAAGTCCAGACAGCATCTGCCGCAAACAACAATGCCATGCGGACCGCAAACCATCCGGCCGTCGGGTAATTCGCAATGACCTTCGTCGTCATCACGGCTATCTAAACCGCGAGGGGCCAGGCCTTGCGCAGGATACCGCCCGAGAGGCATTATGGTAGCGGGTTCTCGAGAGCGAAATGTGGGGGAACCAATACTGATTGTGATTGGTGATTGAAAGGCGGCGAATTCAAATTCCACTCTGAATATCCGAAAGAGAAGAAAGTCCACCCAACATGTGATTTGGTCCTATCGCGTTTTGAATGGTCCTGCGTTACGCACGAGATGCATAATGTGCTGGCTCTGGACTTCTAATTGAAAGAAATGCAAGGCAAGTAGGGTGCACGCGGTCAGATCCGAATGTGATACACTGGTGGCGGATACGGTGCCTGAAGCCACTTTTAAGCCACAGTGTATGAGATCCTAGTTAGAGTCGGCTTGCTGCAACAGGAGGGGTTGGTAAAGTACGTAATAGATATAGGAGGAAGAGCACGAGTGATATCGCCCCTGCTCGGCGCTAGTTCCAGGACAGTCAAGGCTCCCGCTTCAGAGGGACACTGGATGGTCGGCTGGTCCTACAAAAAAGCAACGAGGATGCGCCACCAAGATGATTGCCCGGCTTCCTGTGCTGGCTGCTGAAAGACGATTGACATGCGCATTCCTCTTGGATAGATCCAACAGACCTGGGGGATGGGAATATTTAACTCCTTTTAAGCCAAGCCTTGAACCAGATCATAAACTGCTGAATTGCGGAGAGCTTATAGCTAAGCTCAATGTTAGGTTTGGGCCACCTAACCGATCAGCAGAAGGAACTAGGGTTTTCAAGCCTGGAGGTCCTAAAAGAGAGTCGATCTATCTTATTAACAAGGACCATGGGCTTGTGGCTCGAGAAGATATCAATGGACAGCTACACTATGGGGTTCCTTGGCCTCCAATGTGGCTGGGTGAATCTCAGTTGGGCGAACTGCTAATTGAGGAATTTTGGGCAGGCATTTTGCAGACCATGGAAAGAGTCGAAGTTTCAAAGGATACAAAAGTCAAAAGGTGCCAGGGTTGTGAAGAAAACGCGCGGAGGCAAAAGAGGAGAAAGCATGATGATTATGATCTAGATTAGGGATCATCAATAAGCTTTTACAAGATTTTGTAAAAGCTCGTAATATTTATGTGGAGCAAGTAATAGTCTTATTTTTACTTGCAAGATTTTGTAAGACTAATATATAAGATATTAGAAAATATATGTAAGCAAATATAAGACTGCTACAATTTAAATACCCTAGAATAAAAAAAAATGAAATCATTGAACTTTTAGATAAAGAGAAATTATCTACATTTTTCAGCCCTAATATCTGAGTAGTAGCGGTATTCTCATCCTGTGCCTTATTAATAATCTCACCTAGGCACCTTCTGCAGTATCTCCTTGGGCCTCTTGCTGTTTCTTCTTCTTCTTTCTCTTCGCGATGTCCAACAACTGCATACCAATCCTCTGGTCTGCCTTCTTCTTTTTGGCTTCTGCAGCCGCCTTAGCCTTTGCTGCATTAAGATCAAAGGTTTCACCCTTGTCGCCAACAATTTCTTCCCAGCCAGCACCTCCAACCGCTATAGACTATTAGTAAATGATTAGGACAATTGATTGGGACAAATACTTACCAGCACCACGGATCTGAAAGTTCAGATGAGGCATATTAACCCCAAGGCAAGAGACAATACCAGCAAGAGTGTGGAAATCTTTTGGCTTGATAGTAACACGGTTGGCATGAATTGCCAGTAGATTAATTGCTAAAAAAATATTAGTGAGAGTATAAACCATAAGAATAAGTATAACCTACCGCTAAAAGTACCGACAAGCATCGTCTCTGCTGCTTCCTGGAGGGCACCAATTGCATTTCGCTGCTAGCGATAGCTTTTGGAATAATCGATCTCATGTTGGATCCCTCGCACAAGTCGCATGAAAGGAAGCTTAGGAATCAAGAGTTCGTGCGATCTTTGGTAGCGGCGAATTTCTCGGAGTGCAACAGCTATTGCAGGTCAGAATTGTACCAATCAATTGTACCACTCAACTGGTTGACTTACTGCCTTTACGGAAGTGAACCTTCTTCTTCTTTGCAGGGGGGGCCACAGGTGTTTTTCTGGGCGCTTTGGTTGCAGGAGGTCTCTTCGTGGATTTCCTCCCCACCGTCTTATGTCCAGCCATTTTCTGTAATATATTAATAGTTGATTAGGATAAATGATTAGGACAAATGCGCACTTACGAGGAGGGCGAGGAGGGTTGTTGGTTGTAGCAGGGTAGGTTGTAGTGTATGTGGAGGGTTGTTGGAGATGTGATGGCGAGGTGAGAAATTTTAGTGGAGCATGCGCGTGTTTTTTGGGCCAAATTGGGCCTAGTACCTACCTATTAGCCAATAGAAACGCGCCAAGGCGCGCCTAGGCCCACTTTTCCTGCACGCCCGTTATTTTTCCAACGCCAATTCAACTCCAACCTCCCCCCGCCAACCTTACAACTACACCACCACCCCCTGCTGCCAAACAACAAAGTAAGTAATTTCTACAGAATTAAGTTGTACTAATTTATTGTACTAATCATGAATTAGCAGCGTATACAGGGATGTCAAATTCTGACCAGCGACGCGATCGCGGCCGGCCGGTTGGCCTTCCTACGCAAAAGCGTAAGAGTGAGGATGAGTTATCGAATAATCCACATACTAAACGCTCCCGAACTCGAATGGAGAATATGCTACCAAATGACCAACGGGTCGAGAAGGCAAAGAATGCTTTACGCAAGCAAAAGATGCGTAAACTGAAGAATCTACGGGATTCTGATGAATACAAGCAAACGAGTCCAGCAGTCCAGAAATCTATGGAAATCCAGCTGGAAGATTCGATTGACCAAGAATAGTTTGCTTTTTTCTATACCATTTGTCCTAATGAATTGTACTAATCATTACTTAGTATGGCAAATGGGAAGCATCCAGATGTAATTGCCGAGCAGCTTGGGCACCAAGTATCCGACAGACCCGTTTTTGAAAATCCTGAGGATGGATGGGAGGATATTCCAGAGAACCAGCTGAGTGAGTATGATCTAATCATGCTTGCAGCCCACACAGCTGCTGCAAATGGAGAGACTTTGGAATTGGATGTACCAGAAGTTGGCCCTACTGGTCATGGGAATGCAATCCAAGATTTTCTAGCAGCAACAGAGGCAGTAAGTACAAACTACTGAAAATATGCTAAGTAATATAACTAATTTATTCTAGTCATATACCAAGGCTGCATACCTTGATATCTTGACAAAGGTTATTAAATCTCTGTCTACTCTCTGGCAAAAAATTTCTCTTCTACAGACTCATCCTACTGGATGTATGAAAATCTGGAAGGAAATCCAGGCTCTAGACCCTAGGTATGATTATACTCTTGATTAATTATTCAGTACTAATAAATCAATTAGACTACCAGACCAGCCTCATGCTATCTTTGTATTCTCTCAGCAGGAATGCTTGGCCTGGCTTCTATTACAAGCTACACATCGGAGCTACCAGTAAGTACTAGTCAGCTATTTGTCCTGATCATTTGTCCTAATCATATTTATTCTAGTCAAAAGAGCAAGTCTGGGAAGCACTATTCAAACTTCCATACAGTCAAATGTCATCCTAAGGCGTTTATCAAGAAAGAAAAACTTACCTACCTCTCGAATGCAGCCTCACGTCCTCAACTCGTCAAGGATCTATGTGATATTCCTTTCTTTTCTACCTGGGGTAGATTTAGAAAGTCTCATGGAAAATGGCTAACTCTGCCTGGCCCAGCTTATCTATGGGATAACATGGGTAATCAGTACATCTCATATGCTGTTGAGAGTACATTGAAAAGCCTTCAATCAACTGTCACAGGGTTCCCTGGTGATATCAAGCTGTGGCTTGCAGTTGGACCTACAGTGGTGCCAAAAGGATTCAAATTGCCACCAAAGGAGGTTATGGATTTATTCTAGTATTTTACTCAGTGTAATTGTCCTAATCTAATGTACTAATCAGCCTCAGAGTAATTAAAAATTCCAAAGTACTACCGACTAAAATTAAAACTACCCATATCTTTACAAATTGTCTGTACTAATTTAATATCCTTTGGCTGCAGAGTAACTCTTTGAGCATGGATTGCACAGAGGTTTGAACCTAAATTTTATTAATTAGTATAATATAATAGTTTGGTTTAGAATATTCTTACATCCAAGGAGAGATACAAGAATACTCTCAGTTGCTTCTTGTAAGGCAGTAATTGCAGATAATTGAAACCGAAGCTTAGGATTAATTTTCTGAGCAAGTTCACGAACTATTTGCCGGAAACGAGTACGCGGAATAATAAGATCTGTACTCCTTTGAAAATACTTAATTTCCCGTAGAGCAGCTTTAAAATATTAGTGTATATATTATAATAATAAAATAGACTGCTTACCTGTATATTTTCTGGAATATCTGGTTTTTCTCGTATGAATAACTTTACTTGCAGGTACAGTTTTTCTTGCAGGAACAGTTTTTCTCGCAGGTCTTCTTGGTGGCAGCCCTTTACCAGTTCTCTTAGCAGAGAGTGTTGCTAGATTAGCTGTATGAATTGGCGCCTTGATATGGAAAGAATACCCAGTTAATCTTTACTGTATAATATAGTTAAATTTTGAAGTGAACATACCCCTAGGACAATGGATGCATCACTTCCTCTTCTCTGAGGCGAGGTAGGTTTTAATTCTGTATTTAGTAAGGGAGGTAATTCCTGGCTTTAATCTTCAATATCTGGGATATACTCTGGAGTTCCTGGTATTTCTTCCATGTTCGGTAATAAAATATAAAGGTAAGGAGGGTTAATGATGGGGACAAATGATGAGGACAAATGATAAGAATAAGAAATAAGGATATGTTAAGTTATGTAGGAATTTTATTGTATTATTATTAGATACTACCATGTCTATATCAATAGATATAATATAGATAGTAATTTTAATTAAAATTATATACCCACATTGTATTTATCCTTATCACCTTTGTCCTCATCCTTTGTCCCCATCATCTTTGTCCTCATCATCTTATCCTCATTACTCTCCTCTTTATTATATTACTGAAATTACGATATATTCTTATATTTTACAACAATGGATCAAGATGAAGATGAGCAGTATACCACAGAGGACTTTATTCCAGAAACAAATCTACTGTCCCCACAATCCAATTATCAGCCAATATCTACTCTTCGGGAAGCAATTTCCTCAAAAGGAGTATGCTATACCTATTCTCTCCATCAACAGCAGGAATTTTTATCTTGGTGGAAGTCTACTTCATTCTATAATACTAGAATTAAGGAGATAGCACGTATAGGTAATATTCCTGAAGAGAGAGTATATACTACACAAGAGAAGTTTTTTTTACAACAACCTCGCTCTGCCAACTGGCAAAATTTTAATAGAGCAGCATTAATTCATGATGGTACTCCTATTATTATTTGCACTTTATGTAGTGCTGCTCTTACACCAGCACCTGGTACAACTACTTTAATTCATCATCGAAAGTCGATAATATGTAACAGGGGTACAACAGGCCATACAGTAAATCCCCCCTCTATTTGTCCTAATCATTTGTCCTCATCATCACTGGCTTTCTTAGTCTTATACTAATAAATATTCTAGATACAAGAATCCAATGGCCAGCAATATTCTCTCCAAAGCTTAATCACCCAATTTATTTGTACAAGTCATAGTCCAGTAGCAATTGTTAATAATCCGATCTTTCGCCAGATATTAGCATCTACTAGCACTTCTACACCTACTGTCCCATCAGCCTCAACTATATCTCGTATGATTCATTCAGATGCATCTCGACACCATGCAGCTGCTATTGAATATATCCAACGAACACAGCAAAGGTTCAGTATAGCTATTGACTCATGGGCCAATCGAGGGAACAAGTGGTGTATTCTAGGAATTATATGTTTCTATACTGGGCCAGACTGGAAAACTCAGCAATTCTGTCTCAGTATGATTGATATATCAAAAGATCAGACTGGTGCTGCTGCACAAAAGCATATTCTTGATATCCTACAACAGCATAATCTTCTACATCTCTGTATCAGTATTACAGCAGATAATGGCTCCCATATCGATATCTTATCTTTCAACGATGAGCTTCATTCCAGGCTACAGCAAAAAACAACTACATTATCTTGGGTTAGATGCTTTGCACATATAACTAACTTAGTATCTCAACATTTATTTGATATAACCAAGATACAAAATCTGGAAATTAGTAACCAGATGGAAGATAAGCCAGATGAGCCTGATGAGCTTGAGCCCTCTTCTATTACTGGTCTATTTGACCAAATCTTATCCAGTGAGGAGATTGAGGCCTGTGATATCCCATTGGATTCTATACTCCCACCAAATATTGAGGATCACCTTGAAGAAGTAATCTTAAAGGTAATCATTATTAATACGTTTGTCCTAACCATTTGTACTAATCACTTATTCTATAGGCACGGTTCTTAACAAATAAACTTGCTCGTAGCCCAAAGCTTAATGCCTCATTTTTAGAGGTTCAAGAAAGCTTAAAAGATCCAACAAGTCACCAGACACCACTTCGCTTAAAACGAGATTGCCCAACTCGATGGAATTCAACAGTTCTATTATTGATGAGAGTCAATAGACTTCGTATATCAATTGAGAAATGGGCAAGCTCCCAGCCAGAGTCCATTTACCCTAAGGAACAGCAGCTTAATACAACCAATTGGGAGCAAATGAAGTATCTAATTCAAATTGGGAGTATATTTCTCTGGATAACAAATTCTATTAGTACAGAAGGATGTACACTTGCAGCTACAATTCACTTTACCAAACTTATAAAGAGTGACTTAGAAGGCTATATAGCTCAACTACAAGCTATTCATACAAAAAAGTACTGGCAAGAGCAACTACTTCAAGCAATAAGTCTTGCTAAAAAGAAGTTACAAAAGTATATTAATATCTTACTACAAGATGAAGCTTATTTTGCTATTAGTCTTCTTCTTGAACCTATACCTATTGATTCAGAAGATCATCGATGGAATGGTCTTCGGCATATATGGCCAGATTTACCAACAGACAGTGAGACTGCTGCACAGCACATACAAAATAAGTGTGAACAGCTATTTATACAACAGTATATCAGAGATTATTCTCAACTTCTACAAGATCAAACTCCTACAGTAGTATCCTCAAATAAAAAAAACCTTTCTGGATATGAAACAATAGCTGAGATTGCTAGTCGGGTCAGCCCTAAGAAGGTATCTTATAACCCTCCCTACTATTTGTCCTAACCAATTGTCCTAATCAATATACTAGGCTGTATCACAATCTCAAGATATCTATCGACAAACATGCTTATCCTTCTTTACTGAGCGTAAGTCAATTCTTTACTATCTTTTTATCTATATACTAATATTAATTAGGGCTGAGCCCAGGTGAAACAATTCCTGAGTTTTGGAAAAGATTATCTACTATTAAAAAATACAAAGGAATCTGCTGCCTAGCAAAGGATTTTTTTTCTATCCCACCAACTGCTATTTCCCTAGAAAGAGCTTGGAGTGTATGTAGGCATATTAATTCCTATGGTCGATTTAATATGTCTATTAAGACTTTATTTGCTCGTTTTACAATATGGCAACTATCAACAGAATCAAATACCCTCTCGAACCCGATTAATATTGAAGATTTAATTCCTCTTCCAAACATATCGCCTAATACAGAGGTATCCTTGGAACCAGCTTCTATATTGGATATTAATAATCAGCTAGAATCTGAGCAACGACTCCAAGATCTTGAAGCAAACATGCCTAGTAGGCAACAAACTCAAACCCTTCCGACCCGTAAGAGAAGGAGAGGGGGCAGTATACCACTTTTCCGCCCCCCTCCCTCTAGGGTTAACTCTTTTACTATACAATCCCAGGTATCATCTTTATCATCTCCTTCCCCTATATCAAGAGGTCAACAAACAGTCTCTTCTCCAGCTTATAGCTCTATTTATTGCCAGCCTGGTGAATTTTCACAAGCAAGCAGTATAGGAGGTAGTGATATAATAATACAAGAAGAAGTAGATAATGAAGAGATAGAGGATGAAGGGACAGAGGAAGAAGATACTAATCATCTTAGGAGGGGTACACGTAGAAGGTTTCAAAACTCACAGCTTCAAGATTCAATCCTATACTAATATCCTTTGTCCTTATTATTTGTACTAATCAATTTATAAAACAAATAATTCAAATAAAAATAAAGTAAGATTTTGTAAGTAGTGAAATTACCCCACTAATATAAAATAAGCATTTATTATTCTTAGTATAAAATTGCAAGTAATTGTAAGAGCTTACAATTACTTATAATTTTATTCTAAGCATAAGTAAGTACCCACTATTACTTACAAGCTTTTTTTTAAGCAATATTATAAGCACTTGTAAGCTTTGGTGATGCCTAACGTGGACCGTGGTGGGAGAACGAGTTGGAAGGGCATAATGCGTGGGAGTATGGCCATTCACGACCTCCCCATCCCTCCACAGTTATGTTCGGGTTTGATAATTCCGATCCCAAATATATCAGATTAGCACCATCTGTTGAACCCATTCATCGATAAATGTTTCAGCGGGTTTCCATTCTAACAAAATTTTTGTGGTTGTTGTTAAGGGGGTGTAGTAGCTACAAAGTCTGGGCGATCAGAAGGGAAAGGGGAAAAAACTATGTATATTCATGATTTCTTTAGCATCTTGCAATCGGTGCTAGCACGTTGGTGAAAGAATTTTTGTATCCGGAGAGCTCAAAGATGCCTGTGAACTGTACCATGCCTCATTTTGTGGAAACTTTATGATGAACAAGTTCTTCCTCTCTCCTCAGCAAGATTCAACCTGACCATTTCTGCTGCAGTGGTCTGATCATCCAGTAAAGAGTGTGCGGTTCATCTCGTGAATCATTGCGTTGGTGTGATTTAGCAGACTGGCTCATAGAAGGGCTTGTCCTACGAACCCGAAACGGGGTAATATCAGGTGACCGGCATCGGCTAGAATGCCTGAGTCGCAGGTTCTTGATATCCTTTCTACCTGGACATCAGGTACGCAAACTGTGAGCGACGTGCTTGTGCAACATCCACACCCCATTGACCCAGAGCTTGGAGTATTCCTTCCAATGACTGCGATTGTGTAACATTACATCCCCTTTGGCGAGCTTTCTCGACTCGGTCAATGTCTCCGCTATTGGGGAAGAGGGACTTGGTGGTATACTTGAGTCTCGTTTCCTCACTACATCGCAGCTGGTTAGTGGTGCCGAGTTCGGAATCCGTGGTGTCCCCTCCCACCTAGGTTCTCTCTTACTTGAAAACAAGGAAGCCTCGGCGATTGTCTTACTTGGCTAAATGCTGATTGATGATCTCATCGCCGGTCGTCTCGTCGGCAAACCGCTTACCACGCTCGTTGAGCAAAAGGCACCGGCGGCTCTCTGCAGAAGAGTTAGCCAGAAACACTGCAACGGTCGTTTCCCTTGAAGTGATGCTGACGAAACTGTGCCAAAGGAAGATACTCCTTTGGGGAAACATCTTCTTGTCGCAGAGGAGCAGCCAAGAGGTGCCCGTAGTAAGTCGCCATGCCACGGCTCGTGTTAGCACCAACAGATGTTGCAAGCCTTAGGCCATCTCCCACAGACCCACTGTTGGACCGCACAAATATGTTGTCTTGACCGGGGCTAAGGTATCTCGCCTTGAGCTCAGACGATCCTTGAAATCCTCCTGTGGCCAAAATCACCCATCTAGTATTAACTTGGACTAGTTTTGTTTGTGTTGCGTCCGGAGATGTACGCTCTAGGATAGCGCCAGTAATACGAGAACCGGGGACTCCAGGCTCTTGCTGTAGGAGCTTGATTACTTTTAGTGTTAATCCAAATTTTGGACCCAGTCGAGCTCTCTTCAATTCGTTTAGCATGCAGGCGATACAAGTCGGGAATTTTAATTGGGTATCCAATGCCTGCATTCAACATTACTCGGTGTTCTCCAGCATCGAGTGGACAGAAGGGGGTATGTCATGTTACCAATCGTCATAATGGGAGCAAACTTGTCCGCAGTAGGGATTCCAGAATCTCGCATCCACTGCACAGCCTTAGGATAGTCATCGAGCCATGCGCGCTGCAAGTTGGCATCGCCGTCTGGAACCCAGGAACGCAGCTTCTCATATGTCTCCGGTCCCCAGCTAGAGGACTGTCAGCTCAGTCTACAACACAGCTTTATCAGTTGTCCTCGGCACTTACAACATCCCGGCCGAATAGGCGGATGAGCCACCGACATGGCCCTGCTTCTCTGCGACAAGCACCTTGGCGACAGCTCCGGTCGCATGGTTGGCACAAGACATGCCGGACATGCCTCCACCACAAATAAGGACGTCAACTTCGATAGTTTCCATTGTCAATGATGAATCCAATTGTTTCGATAAAAGCAATTTGCCAAGACCTCCGCCAATATCAACAGATCATAGGCGATATTTACCTTTTTTTTTTTTTTTTTGTCTTTATAGTTGGGCCATTTGACATGCATGCGACCCGGCCATGTTTCTTCGGCATCCTGGGAGTTGCGAAGTAGAACCCTCGGCGTCTGGGGGAAGCAACTGGTGGCTAAATTTAACCACCGGGTCCGGTCGTCGGCATAGGAATTGCTCCACGTCATGATGTGGATCCCCCTTGCAGCAGCCCATTAACCGTTCGGGCCAAGAGCGCGGGGATTGATAGCGCGCTCGGCACAATGAGTGTGTTCACCGGAAGAATGATAGATGTTGCAATGCGTCTATAGTAGTCACCTTGTGTTAGACAGCGCGCCCTCACTAGGTCACTGATGATGAAAGATGATATTGGGATGATCTTGAGTGTATTGATGATGTTCGTTGTGTTCGTCCTCCTTGTTCTTCGTTCTCCCTCGTTGTCTTTGTATCTGAGGGGGCAAGGCCAAGATACTAGACCTGCTGATCCTTCAACAGATCCGTAACGCTGTTCTGACAATTAAGGTATCATCGGGTGACATCTTCCCTTGAGGTGGCTGCCTGTGTATCATCATGCATGGCACTTCTCCAACACATATGCCCTTCTCAAAAGAACTAAGCAATACAGCATAAACACACTATAAATAAGCTCATAAACGAGGTTTATCCGAGTATATAGAACAGTGTTTTGCCACCCTGGCCCAAGATTGCATACCTCGCCTCGCCCACTCGTCCGGGATGCTATAACAACAGCGTTAGTTAGCCGTGATGATGTCTTAGTCTCGCGATTTGTCGTTACAACTCTCAGACACTTCCCTGGGGTCTCTCTTCCACACGTCGGGATGAAAAATCTCCATGGATATCCAGCCCCGGTACCCCATCTCAAACACAGTTTTGGCCACTTTTAGGACTGGCAATACTCCATGTTCACAAGGGAATATTCGACAATTCCGGGACTGTGTCATGAACGGTGGTTGCTTTAGGTCTCGGATCGGGTAACCTCTTTGTTCCTTGTCTGCGACCGTGGCGTCACTCAACTGAAAATATCTGATATCACTGACTTTGACCGTCCGCGAGAACTCTGCCATGCTGTTTCGTAGTCTGGCGACACCATCAGCCTTGACGGGCGATGATAAATTGAATGGGTCTCCCGCTTCTTTAGCCGCAATGTGAAAGGTGTCGATACAATGGCGAACGTTAGGTAGATCAACATGGCCAAGGATATCTCGAACCTGCTGCCAGGTATTTACATCAATAACCCAGGCTACTCCCTCAAATGCCACGATTATATTGTATTTCTGAGCCAGAAGCCCCAGCCGCTTCAGGTTGGCTGCGATTTTGAGTGGGTCCGCGGTGAGATGCTTTTGTAGGGGATAAATGCATGAGGCAAGCTGGTCTGGGTTTAGCGATCTATCCGGAGTGCCGGATCTCGAGTGTATGGTATTAGTACCTGAAGGATCGGGGCCTGTAAGACCTGACAGATCTGGAGCCGAAGCTCGGCCTCTTGGAGGCGCACCTCAACATCCTCCTCTTTCGCAAGCCCATCGAAGGCTCCAAAGGGGTTCAGCGTAACGATGTCCAACGACAGAGCACTTGCGCTCTTGCGAATGTCCAGGGCCGCAGCGCGCAAACGGTCGGCACGAGACTTGTGACTGGCAAACTTTTCAGACTCGGAATGGCTTTCGAGGCATTCCATGACAAGTTCGATGCCGTCAAAGCCATGTCGCTTCGCAACTTCCAGCTTCACAGCTATACCATGACCAGCTCTTGATTTTCCCATAGCATTAGATCAAATGGCGACACTGATCCCTTGTTGAGCCATGGTCATTGTTGGTTGCTGCCCTTATCGACTGGCTTGTGCATGTCATCAGCCACAAAGAGATAGTCCTGTACTGCCGGCCGTGTCCATGTTTTATCGATTGATTTAGCCGGCATTTTGGCGTGAGATCCCGGACCTTAGATTAACATTCCGACAGCCGAAAGCTCCGGCCGTACTACATGGTCGCGTGGAGGACGGGAAAAGAATGGCGTGGGACTAATGCCGAGAACGTCACCTCCGGTATTTCGACCCCGCCCGAGCCAGCCCTTTAAATATCGCGACCAGATCATCAACATGGTTAGAAACCGTGGACCAACTCACGTGTATGTTCACCATGGCGCCTTCCGAATCGCGAGTCGTTCTTGTGACAGGTTTGCAAATCTTGACCTTGGGCCGGAGTCAGCGTTGACGTCTCTCACACAGGTGGCGCTGATGGCTTCGGCGCTGCGATAGTCGACCGTTTTCATCAGGATGGGAGCAAAGTCATCTTCATCGATCTGAACGATGTCAAAGGAAGCGCAAAAGCAGCCACAAGTCCCGACCTTACCTTCATCCATGGAGATGTAACAAGCGTAGCAATTTGGGAGCAAGCTCTGGCTGTTGCCGAAAAAGAGTACGGTCGGCTGGATGTCGTGGTCAATAACGCGGGTAAGCAAACATGCTGCTTCTCCCTTTGGTGCCTATCACAGCACGCTGAGACTTGATAGGCATCACGCTCGTGCCCTCGGTAAGTTCAGATGGCCCCTGATAGCCCCGCCAGGCGTAAACTAACTGAAGCCGAAGCCTGTCCACACATTGTCAATGGACCTATACGACAAGATCCTCAACGTCAACCTTAGAGTAAGCCACGTCACGTCCATGTTGCTGGATTACCTGTGCATCCGCTGACATTTGATGCAAGCCTGTTTTCCTGAGTGCACAAGTCATCTGCCCTTTTATGCTGAAGCAAGGAGGTGGTATCTTCATCAACCTGACGAGGTGGGCAAAATGAGGCAACCTGGTGGTTGGACTAGCACTGATATCGATATCCTAGCACTGGATGCACGCGCCCGCGGCCAGGATTCGCCTTCTACAACGCCGCCAAGGCGGGAGTAAATGTTGGAAACCATAGCCCGTCCTTGGTGAACTGCCAATATTGACTATTGACTCAGCTCGCCTCGAAGACCATGGCGCTGGAATATGCCCCAACCATTCGATTCAATTGCATAAGTCCCGCGATTGGCGACACGGCCATGTATGTGTTGGAGTCTGCTATTACCTACCTTATGTGCCAGTCTAACGTCATCTGCTGTTCGCTGTAGGCTCGAGAGAAGCATCGGAAATGATAATCAATCAGCCGAAAAGCGTCGCAAAATTGAAAACGGTCTGCCATTGAAAAGGCTTACCAAGCCGACCGATGTCGCGAACGCGGCGTGGTTCCTCGGTTCAGACCAGGGGTCTTTTCTTACTGGCACAACGATTGAAGTAGATGGCGGCCGAGGTATCTAAAGGTATATACTGAGCAGGGAGTCCAAGCTTGATCAGCACGATCAAGGTACGTAGCTGCACGTCATGCATAAATTACAGATTGCAGTGCATTCCTCAGTGGCAGCAGCATTGATATGAGCCTTCCCTTCGTAGCCTTCTGGGCTTTGCTTTTTCCACACTTGCCAAGCGATATTTGATGTGACCTTAACCGTTATCCTCTTGTAAGCTTTTTGGTTTAAGTAGCATGAGAGCTTGAGACATGTCCGCAAGTCAAACAGTGACAGATGCAGCAGCAGTCACTGTTAACCAGGGGATTAGAGGCATTTCCATGCACATGCGCATGCACTACCATCAATGGCTGCGTGTTACGCTCTAAGTACGGAGCAAAATTCTCGGCATTGACTGGCCGGACTCCGAAGGGTATGCCTTGTTCGGCCCGGAGAGCTGTGGCCATGTCCAACAACCAAAAAAAAGTGACCTTTGGCACTGTGGAAGGGGGTTAGACTGGATGAAGCACCAAATCAGGGAGTAGTTTTATTGGGGTTGCCTCACGTGACGACCACACTGCAGAATAGGCTTCCCGGCTTCGGAGGGCTTCCTGAGGGTTTTCTTCCCTCCTGCAACTGCCTCACGGGAGCCAATTGCTCGCCTCCGCAAGTTGCTCGTCATCTCTCACGCAGTCAAGACTCGACTTTTCCCCTCCCACCTTCCCTCTGTATATAGAACTACTGCAATATACAGGCACTTGCCTCCCTACAGGGGAGCGCGGACGGGCCTTCTCTGACGCTACGGTCTAACTGAGGTCACCAAATCATTTGTCATCCACGACATGCTACCAGTGAAAGTTTGCCCTGCCCCTCTCTTACATTCTTGCGGCAAACTCCGGGTCTAATGAATCCCCCCCAGACTGGAATCGGTTTTGGAAAATCGCTTCCCCGCTCTGCAGATCGTTGTTCCCCGCAAAGGCCTTCGGCAGAGATGCCGCATTTTCCACCCTGCGCCTGCATTTGTTCAGATCCCCAAGACCATTACAATGGCTTCGGCGCCTTCACCTCAAAACTGTGAGCGCCGGCGCAGGTTTGGACCTCAACCGGCCGTCGCGTGCGAAGCCTGCCGCAAACAGAAGGTGAGGAACAACCACCGATGTGGTGCCTCTCAACGTGAAGTTTTGTTGACACCACAGTGGAAAAGATGCGATGCACCAGTTCCGAGCGGAACCCTGACGGATCAAGAGCTCCCTGCGACAGATGTCAACGCAACAGCCGCCCTTGCCACATCCCTCAGAGACGTGCCCCAGGCCGTAGACCGGGTGCTCTTGGTCGCTATCATGGCGTCGAGAAGGCCATGCGCCAAATCCAGACCGAAGTTCGCAAGGCGGCGCGGCTGTCAAAGGAGTTTCCTAAGAATCCCGTCCCTAGCGAGAGCGAAATTCTTGGTCTCTTCTTGCGCGGCGATGCCCTCTCGCCGCAGCAGCTCGTGGCCAATGAATCATCTCAAGACCTAGTCCCTTCAGCTCAAAATACATTCTCGAGTATGCCTGATGCACCTTCAGAGCTTTCTCAATTTGAGCAGTCCAACGCAGATGCCGTGGCTGCTGGCCGGTTTGAGCGGTCTGTGTGTAACCCTCTGGGGCTTTTAGCTGACGCGTCCGGAGAGGCTCGGGAGGAAGGGGAGCCCTTCAGACCTGAGTCCTCATCAGATTTTGGCCATGACACTTCGCCTGGTGACGCCATATCTATGACGACGGATTCTAGTTCTTTGGTTACGGCCCGATCCCTCTTTGAACGCCCTGGATACGTTTCCCTCGGCCTCAAGCTAGATCGAGGGGTTCTAGAGGATGCACTTGGGCAGCTCCTCAACCGGAGTAGTGTCGATATGCGCTATGCAAACTACTTCAAAGCAGCAAACGAAAACCGAGCCCTGGATACAGGCCCAGATCTTGACCCGGTCGATCTAGGGTTGATATCTCTCGAAGAGGTCCTATATCTATTCCCTATGTAAGTAGACGTTTCCGAGTCCGTCTCCAAACCACTGATTAAGAGCTCTCCAGCTACTTTGAGTGGCAACATCCTATACACGGCATTCTTGATCCAGCTTTACACACACCCGATTTTGTGAGATCACGCTCGGCGCTCCTATTCACTTGGATTCTGGCCATCACCGCACAGTTTGATCCGGCCTCAGCGTCTCTAATGAAGCGATTGCGCTTGCACGGCGAAAAGCTGTTGAGGCATGTTCATGCGTCTGGCTACAGATCTGTGGAAATCGCACAAGGTTATTACCTATCACTCCTAGCCGCTGTCCCCACGAATACCTTGGCGGAGGACAACTCATGGACATACACAACGTACGCCCTTGGTATGATTTCAGACTTGGGTTCCGATAGCCGACAAGGCCCTTTGGCTTCATCGCCCAGACATCCCGTTACAGACCCAAGCAATGGATCAACTGTTGCGATTTCATCCCTTGAAACAAGACTAGTTCGAAACCGAGAACGGACGTCACTCCGGCTATTGATCTGGGAACAAGCACACAATGCCTCGCGTGGCAGAGTTACCTTTTTCCCCGACAACGAGCTCATTTTACGCATAAACGAATGGTGGCAGCATCCCTTGGCCGACCCCACAGACAGGTATACTTCTGCTTTTGTTCTCTTGCGTCGCCATTTGTATATGCTTCATCATGAAGTCAAGCATCATTTTGGACTACCGCATCATGGACCACATTGGGTAAGAGACCTCGTGGACTCAGCCTTGGATCCATGGGCAGAAACATGGCTGACTAACCCGGAGGCCCACTCCGAGACGCCTGAAGTCATACGAGGTGCGTTCTTGCGCTTCGTTTATTTACATGGTCGACTATGGGCGCTCTCGGCGGCTTTGCACAGTCATGCAAGCAGCGGACAGGGAAGTGATGCAACTGCTTACGACTGCTTTGAGGCTGCCATCAACTGTTGCGAGGTCACTGTCAGGGATCTTCGTGAGATTGGTCAGCCAATGTATTGCATGATGACTCCAACCTGGGCCATGAGCTCCTACGCAGCGGTCCTTGCCCTGAAACTGTTTTCACAGCTCTACAGTGATCGACTTGGTCAGGAAGTTGAACTCCTGGCTTTGCTTGCGGAGGTTGCGTTGCAGCTAGAGAGAGCAGGAACAGTCCCCAACCATCGATTCGGCATCCCCGCGTTGCTAGGGCAACATCTTTTCCAGGTACTCCGCAGACGATTAACAACACTCAAGACAGCGGTCCCTGTGGCACAAGGTGATGGTAATCTGCCATTACTGGGATTAGATGGTGGTCAGGACATCATCTGTGATAATCATCTACCCCAGCCCGAACAGCAGCAAGGAGGAAGTTTTGCTGAATTTTCAGATCTTCTTCTCTTTCCGGGACTTTCTCCAGAAGGTGCAGGTATTGCTCAGGAAGCCTTTGCGGATTTAATGAGGGAGTGGGGTGGACCAGGCTTTGAAGGTCTTTTTTAAAGACTCTTAATGATTTGTAACTTGTGGACTATTACCATGTGTAAGCTAGACTCTAGCGTAGGTTTACATTATAATATGAAGCAGGAATTTAATTGCTGGCAATTCCGTTATAAGATTGCTTAATATGCTTGATAAATGAGTCGATCAGACAAGCGAGTCGATCAAAAATCCCTCAACCCCCTCTTTCCATTTGATCAATTATTTCTCAACCACCCAATATATCACAATTAAGCAAAGACGTAAGTATTATTCTTGCTATTCAGGCTCTTCAAAATGACCGTAAATTACGGATCCAACCCGCTGCAAGGATGTATAAAGTACCTTTTACTACCCTCTATGACCGATATTACAGCAAACCTTCTCGAAGCGATACTATCCCTAAATCACGTAAACTATCCGATCTAGAAGAACAGATTATTCTTAACTATATTCTCGACCTAGACTCAGGAGGAGTTCCTCCGCGACTTCATGATGTGAAGAAATGGCTAACCAACTGCTTGCCGACCGCAACGCGTTACCTATTGGCAAGTACTAGGCTTCCAACTTCGCCAAGCGATACTTAGAACTTAAGACTCATTTTAACCGTAAATATAACTAACAGAGGGCCAAATTCAAAGATCCAACTATTATTCGCAATTAGTTTATACTCATAGTGAATACAATTGCGAAATATAGTATTACCTTTGCTGATATCTATAACTTTGATCAGACCGGCTTTATAATAGGTACGATTGTAAGCAGAATAGTAGTTACAGGCGCAGAAAGGTATAGAAAACTGAAATCAGTCCAGCCTAGGAACTGGGAATGGGTTATAGTTATTCAGGCTATCAATACGGAAGGTTGGGCGATCCAGCCATTTATTATGGTAGCAGGCTGGTATCACCTGTCTAGCTAGTACCAAGAAAGCAACCTTCAGGGTGATTGGGCTATTGCTATAACTCAAAATGGCACGACCGATAATGATATAGGCCTTGAGTAGATCAAGTACTTCAACCGGTATACCGAGACCCGCTCAAATGGTCGCTATTGCCTTTTGATCCTCGATGGGCACGAAAGCCATCACTCCATGTGGTAATTGCCTAGTGGATGGTGGATATGCCCCCTCCCGCTCGCTTGAGCTGAAAGTTAGACCTAGCAGGCCCAAGGCAAGCCACACACGGCTATTGGGGTTAATGCTTCTTAGCTGCAGATTCTCGATCAGTACGTATTGTGCATATCTCTCTTTGTCCAAATAAATAGGGAGTGGTATACCAAAGCATAGGCTTCCTGTTTCTACCGCCGGAACTTGTCCCTGGAATTTCCAACCAATTTCGTCCGCCGTATCAAAAGACGCAAAAATGGGCTCTCTCAAGTCTCTCTTCACCCTGGGCGCGCTCGGCGTTGCCGCCGTTACTGCAGCACCTGAGCCCAAGCCCAAGTCCCCAAGTTGCCCGGTTGCGGTGAATTCAACGTTTTCTACACATATGGGCTGATCGAAACTTGCCAAGTGTTCACATTTATGCTAAACAAATGTCAACAAGGGACTTCCTCCTTACCACTCCTTTGTCGTCGAGGAGGGTTGGGATCCTGTCAAGGTTGATATTGCACTCCGCAAGGACGTGAATGCCACTCTTGAGGCTGGTTAAAATGTCCAGAGTGAGTCCCATTCCCTTTCCAAAAGCAAAGTATGTTATTTAAATTGCCGACTGTTTTTTAGCCAGGGAGTGCAAAAAGAGTGGAAGCAGCGAAAATGGAAGCCCAGAGGAAGGCAGAAGGGGTAAAAACCGAGACTTGAGTGGCCGAAACCTCCCAGTTCGATGCATACTGTCGAGGTGGTTGATCAAATCAATCCCTGAAGCCCATTGTGCCGTATCCGACAGGCAGAATGGGCAAAAATAGATGGATCTACCACCCACAAGCCTAAGACCCTCGATGCCCGAGGGTCGATTGTGCATCCGCACAAACCCATCTAGGTAGTCCCTCAGCGGCCCACGAGGGAACATGGGCCAGTTCTTCTGGAGGGCCCGTTCCTCCTCCGACTTCGGGACTTATTGCGCCGCCGGGTTCACCGCTTGGTTGACGTTGTTGAACGGGAGGGCGGTCTGCTTGGGCGGACCCAGAAGTTGGCGGACATCTTCGGGGCTTGGGAGGCCACCCATGGCGGGCGTGGTGAGTGAGGTGGAAGATGCCGAGAATGGAGGGGTGATGTAGGGGCTGGGCCGAGAGTACCACAGGGCTTGCTTGACCCCCATTTGTCGGCGTGGAAATGGGTGGCCCTGCGCCACTCATTGGAGATGTTTGAGGTCGAGCTTGGGTTTGTCTTGATTGAACAGGCCGAAGCTGGATGTTGGGAGTCCGACGAGCACGGGGCGGAACCACCGGATGCGAATTGGATCTGGGGACAGCGGTTGTTGGGGATGGCGTCCAAGCTTGGGATTGAGGCTGGATCTGCGGCCGAGTCTGTGTCTGCACACTGGCTCCAGATGAAACATGAAGACTTTGCAGAGGCTGAGGTGGTCCCTGAGGAGGTGGTCCCTGAGGCTGAGGTAGTCCCTGGGGTCGAGGTAGTCCCTGAGGTTGAGCTAGCACTGGACAGAAAGACTGGACTAGACTGTGGGAGTGAATCTGGGACTGCGGTTCCGCCAATTTCTGAGTTTGAATGGGAGACTGTAGTGGTTTCTGAGTACCAGGATAGATTTGTGTCGGAAAACGGGGCTGTAGCTGAGGTTGAGGCTGAGTATGGTGCTGGGCTGACATATCCAGCCAAGGTTGACTATGAGCTTGGAATTGTATCC